GGCAGCACAACACTTCGTCTCCATCGTCGACCAGTGCAGCACCAACAGTGCCGCACTTGCCTGCCCACTGCCCGCCGATCAGCCTGTGCAGCCTCGCCGTTCTGATCGCGTGCGCACTCGTTCCACCCGTTTGCAAGGGTTTGACGTTGATCTCCCAGGAGCAGCGAATTCAGCGTCGGTTTTGTACCCCCTTGAAGACTATCTTACCTATGATAGGCTATCCCAAGCTCACCATGCATTTGTCGCGACTGTGAGTGCGGAGGAGGAGCCTATTCATTTCTATCAGGCAGTGCGTCATAAGCATTGGCGTGATGCCATGCAAAAGGAGATTGACGCCCTCATTGCCAATGGGACTTGGTCCTTAGTTCAACTGCCGTTGCACAAGAAAGCAATAGCGTGCAAATGGGTTTTTAAGATAAAATTCAGACCCGATGGTACTGTTGAGCGCTACAAAGCGCGGTTGGTGGCGAAAGGTTTCACCCAGATTGAAGGTATCGATTATCACGATACGTTTGCTCCTGTGGCCAAACTCGTCACTGTTCATTGTCTCTTGGCCGTGGCAGTAACTCGGGGGTGGCATATCCATTAGCTCGATGTCAATAATGCATTTCTACATGGTGATCTTGATGAGGAAGTTTACATGATTGTACCGCAAGGTTTTGGACGTCCTGGTGATACTCGAGTGTGTCGTCTGCATAAATCCATCTATGGTTTAAAGCAGGCTTCTCGTAACTGGTACCAGAAGTTTACTCAAGCTCTTCTTGAGTTTGATTTTGTTCAGAGCCGCGCCGATCATGCCCTCTTCACTTATCTTCGTGGATATGTCTTTGTGGTCGCTCTCATTTACGTTGATGACGTTATTCTCACGGGTGACGACATGGGTTTTATCAGTCGTGTTAAGGAGTTTCTTCACGACCGGTTCACGATTAAGGATCTCGGTCCGTTGAAATATTTTTTGGGTATCGAGGTAGCACGTCCTCCTCGTGGTCTTGTTCTTAACCAGCGCAAGTATGTGCTCGACATCCTAGCTAGCGCTGGCCTTGAAGCTGCTAAGCCGTGTTCTACTCCTATTGAACAGCAACATCAGTTGGGCCGTCTTCCTTCTCCACCTGCTGCTGACCCAGGTGCCTACCGTCGTCTTGTTGGACGTCTACTTTATCTTACGGTCACTCGACCGGACATCGTGTATGCTGTCAATATCCTTAGTCAGGCAATGCAATCCCCGACTAAGGCTCATGAGGAGGCGGCAATTCGGGTTCTTCGGTATTTGAAGTCAGCTCCGGGGCGTGGCCTCTTCTTCTCTGCGTCCACTACTCCCACTTTAACAGCCTTTTGTGACGCCGATTGGGGTGGCTGCCCGCTGACTCGTCGATCAACGACTGGTTACTTTATCATGCTTGGCTCTTCTCCTGTGTCCTGGCGTACGAAGAAACAGACAGTTGTTGCTCGTTCTTCGGCTGAGGAAGAGTACCGTTCCATGGCCAGCACAGTCAGCGAGATTGTTTGGCTTCGGTGGTTGTTGCGTGATCTGGGAGTTGTCTCACCTACTCCCACTCCTTTGTTCTGTGATAATCAGGCTGCTCTTCACATTGCAGCTAATCCAGTTTTCCACGAACGCACTAAGCATGTCGAGATGGACTGTTATTTCGTGCGTGAACGGGTTCAGTCTCAGGAAATTACACCGATGAAGATTGCTACCGCGGACCAGCCAGCGGATCTATTCACGAAGGGATTGAGTGTTGATCAGTTCAGTCGTCTCTTCGTCAAGTTTGGACTTCTTGATATTCACTCCTTCGCTTGAGGGGGAGTGTTGTGATTCCTACTGAACTTTGTCATTAGTGTAGGGATCACTTTGTAATTTGCCTCTCCATGTTACTTAGGTTAGGAGACGTGCAAAATCCTATATATGTATCGGCTGCTAGCTAAAACCCTAGGCTAAGCAGAACAATAACGAGTGAAGTTTCTGTGAGCATCAAGCTCCGTGGATTAGTCCCGTTCAGTTAAGAACGGGGATACCACGTAATCCTGGTCTTGTGAGTTTGTTTCGTTTCCGCATATCATAGAGTTTTACAATATAGTTCGGTTAAGAGGTATACTTGAGATATTATTTGACCGATATGGTACAAAAATACGAGTTCATTCATCATTATGTGCTGGTTTATGAATATTTCTTAAAGACCCAAATTATTTTTACAAATAACAGTAAGAGTCGTTTGAAATGTGAGATAAAAACTATCTCAACTCTACTATCTCAACAATATCAACTAAAATGTGACATATAACAGTCATTCATTTTGAGTGATAGTTTCTGTCAAATGTATGCTAAAAAATAAAAAAAAATGAATATTTTAAACAATAGAATTATACAAGTTTAGTAAAACTCTAAAAAAAAAAAATCGTAATTTGCAAACGAGAGCTAAAACGATGTATGTAACTGTGAAATCGGGATTCACTCGTGCAATCCAACCATGTCAAACCAGATGGATTATATATACAACCCCATCAAAATGCTAACTGTAAAGTGTCCATAGCAACAATCGTTTGCAAAATACGAACATGGATGAGTTTATGGCTTCCTCCTCAAGGTGGTGTTGTTTTGTTTTATTTGGGGGACTGGAATATTTTGGGGTTTGGTGCACAATAATATTCAATCGTGTATTCTATTAATTTAACCCTATATATCTTACTGTACTCAAACCATAATTAAATGATGAAGTAATCGAGTCAATTTGGGCCTATTCATCCATATATAATCACACAACGGACGGTGAATATATATATGTATTTGTTTACTTCATCTGCCTGGAAAAAATCATTAGTATATTATTGTTATTATTCTGATTAGAATATGGAATGATAAGTGTGACTTTTTGAGGCACGAGACCATGAGATGTAGAAATTAGATGATCAAACATTTGGAGGGAAGCAAATAGCAGAGCATAGGTTGGTGTGTGTGTGTTGGAGGAAGAAAGCCCAAAACCCAACTTTGTTTTGTTTTATTTTTGCCAAACCAAAGCTAAAAGTCATTGGTTGGTGGGATGTGTAGATGGGTGAGCCTTTGGGAATCGGATGTTGGAGCATGGGATTCCTCGTTCATCATTCAATTTAAACTCGTTTATAAAAATTTTATGAAACAATACTTACATGTTCCAAATGCTTTGATTGATGTATGATTATCTAGACTGAGCACATAATTTCAATAAAATCTAATTGATCACCTCGATTGCATTTAATGAGCTTAATCGGAAATTGTAAGCCATTTGATGATAACAAATGGTTGGAAGATTTTCCCACTCACCATTTTTATGATAGGGTGAAATGGAACGACTTTGTAATTCGCCGTAATCATATTGTGAATCCATCGATTCCCGACATTCAAGCAATTTAACTATCCAATGCTAGTAGTACCCATTACCCAATGACAAGGTGAGGATGGTAAAACTATTAGTGTATGATACATGATCCACGATTGAATCTCTTCCAACAACTCGAGTTATTGGGACTAACTGGTTCATGACATGGTATCAGAGCCTTCTGTGACCGAGAGGTCTTGTGTTCGATTCCCGGTAACCCCCATTTGTTAAGCACATGGTACTCGGACCTGTGCAAACTTCAAGCCTTTGTGAGTAGCTTTCGTTTGAGGGGGCGTGTTAGTGTATGATATATGATCCACGATTGAACCTCTTCCAACAACTCGAGTTATTGGGACTAACTGGTTCATGACAAAAACAAAGTGACTTTTCGTAATTCACCTTAATCATATTGCAATCCATTTCATTCTCAACATTCACGCATTTTAACAATCCGATGCTCGGTCGTACCCAATGACAATGCAAGGATGGTAAAAATGGAGTGACTTTCTTGTCTCGATCTCCCCTAACTAGGCACTAGCTAGCTAACCAGCACTGGGAAGGCGTGGAGGGCAGGGCATGCTTCTATCCTATCTCCACAATTCTCATGCATGGAGATCTCTGCTGGGAAAAATGCCATGGATTTACTTTTAATTCCCTTCTTTTTCACTGCTTGCTCGCAGAAGATAAAAAGAAGCTAAGCACATGACATGATTAAGCTTTTGATGCCACCTTTCCATGCAAAACGAATCTTCCCCTTTAATTGCACGGGAATTCTGATCATTCCCAACTCGATCGAGATCTCTGCCCGGCCGATGGGTATTTCGATTAAAACAAAACCGAAAACAGAACATTCGAGATTACGATTTACAGTCACTGTAAACAGTGAATACAGTATTACTTACATTAGTTAATTTTTAGATTTCACAGACTGGTTTACTTTAAGCTGACTGCAGGAATATTGTAGAATAATTCGATTCTTTTCTGGGAGGCTTTTACTTTTAGATGAACTGCATATGCAGCCGGTGGTTCATCGGCGGTGGCCCGCGGCCGGGCTAGCTTTTGGTTATTCACTTTTAGACGGTATGGGTTCTGTAAAGTATTTGCCTTTGGGCTTTGCAATGTATATGTCAAAGCGTCATGATGGAAATGGATATCCATGATCTCCTCTTCTCTTTTTTACCATGTTACTGTGCGGTATGTGATCACTAATAAAGCATTAATGAAAAAAAAGACTATTTTACGAGCAGATTTTCCGGATTAGAACTTTCACGCAACGTGTCTCTCGCGAATCGAACAAATGACGAACTCGAGAATTGTTTAGAACGAAGAGAAATAGATTTAGAACGGAGAAAAATATAGAGGATACGGAGGTTAGACTACTAATCTATTTAGGTTCCAATCTTCTCATGACATTAAACGAAATGAACTAGTACGTATTTATAGGAAACGAATGTTAAACTACTAATCTACTTGTGTCCCTGCTTCTCTGTTCTCGTACAATAAAGAGAGGAAGATACATTTTTATACTCTCTTACATGCCCATCAAACGAAAACTAATTTACCGGTTGGAAGTTTGAACACACGACCATTTGCTAAATCAACTCTAATACCATAATATAAACCAATTGATTCTAATAATTCTCAAATTATTAGAAGATAATTATTATTTATCTTATACTACTCTCTTAGAAATTAGATACCAATCTTTGTTGATGATTATGGAAGACCTTTTTTCCTGGACTACAGGGGGCGTTGGATTGTACTAGTTGGGCTTTAGTTACACGAATCAACATTCATATGGATCAGTTATAGCCTATAGGACAAGATGCCCTGTCCAAGGGGTTGAAGCTGGGCCCAAGCAGTTAAAGTGTAGGTCCAATATGACGCAAGCTAGGCCCAAGATCGGTGCTGCTGGTCTAGGCCCATCGGAGGAAAGGATACATATACGCATATAAACCCTAGCCATTATAATCGAGAAGCTTAGGGTTTGCATCTTTGCAGAGTGTTAGGCAGCGGCTGCTGTAGCAGAAGCCAGAAGGAGCGAGAGAGCGCAGGACAACCTTCGTCGCCGTCACCATGGGTCGTATGCACAGTCGAGGGTGAGAAACTGAGAATCCCACCTTCATCGTTTGCTTATTTTCGGTTGTTCAACTCTCTTGTAATCTGTGTGTGGATAGAAATACTGATCGGTGCATTTTTCCCCGATTTCAGTAAGGGTATTTCTGCTTCTGCTCTGCCATACAAAAGAACACCGCCGAGTTGGCTCAAGATCTCTTCTCAGGATGTGAGTCGATTTACCTTGTGAATTCCCTTCTTTTTTCACCCCCTGTTCATTTCATGTTCTGTTGTGAATCTGCGTTTGAGGATTGTGTTTGTATTGAGCTGCAAGTGATTTGATGGGGTTGTTTGTTTCCAGGTCGAGGAGAACATCTGCAAGTTCGCCAAGAAGGGTCTGACACCTTCCCAGATTGGCGTCATTCTTCGTGACTCTCATGGTATTGCTCAGGTCAGGAGTGTGACTGGCAGCAAGATCCTTCGTATTCTCAAGGCAAATGGTAATTTTTTTCTGCTTTGTGATAACAAAAGGGGATTATTAGTCTACTAGATTGCCTGATGTGTAGGATGACTTGAATAGTTTGAACACCCAGTCCTTAATATAGAGCCATTAGTTGGTGTTGTGGAAACGTTAGGGATGTTGAGGTGGCAATGAGCATATGCTTGAATTTGGCAGGTTATCTGTGGTGGTAGAGAAATTTGGCATCCGACAGAGTTTAATGTTTTCTATTTTACTGTAATGGCAGATTATTTGTGGTTCTATTGACATTGGTATTCCATGGTCTTTCTTTTAATGTAGGGCTTGCCCCTGAAATCCCTGAGGATCTTTACCACCTCATCAAGAAGGCTGTTGCCATCAGGAAGCATTTGGAGAGGAACAGGAAGGACAAGGACTCCAAGTTCCGCCTGATTCTTGTCGAGAGCAGAATTCACAGGCTTGCCCGTTACTACAAGAAGACAAAGAAGCTCCCCCCAGTCTGGAAATAGTAAGTGGTTTGTTTGAAAAGTGCTTTTTCTTGTAACAGTATGGTTAGCTCGCAGTTTACAGTCAGTATATAATAGTATTTAGAAGCCATCATGGATTATAGTGTGAATGACGGTAATCTATTGGTAGACATTTTCTAGATATAGCATATTTTTCCCGTCGTTAGTTATCAGTGCTCCATTGAAGTTTGATTTGTGTATAGCACTGCCCTTTTCAATTTCTATCATGGTTTTACCCTCTGGATTGAGTGAATTCTGTTTTTTAATCCAGCTCTAGTATTGGTAGATTTGTAATGTTGCTTTCTTCTTCTACTAGAACAAGTTTGATATGCTTGGTGAATTTTTTCCCCTTAATCGTTCCGTAGTCGTCCTTGGTTACTGTTCTTTATTTAATAGCGACTGACACAAGTTACCTTCTTGCAGCGAGTCAACCACTGCCAGCACTCTCGTGGCTTAGGCAATCCATGTTTGCTCTTGAAGTTTTGCTGAAGGGGTGCTTTCTCGTCGAGTCTTCTTCGATCAGGGGAAGGGAAGAGTAATCTTGAGAGCCATGAACTCCTTTTTTGGGTTTGATGTTAGATTGGATTTAATTTGTCTTTTCGGTTGAATGTACCTTTGTTCTCCGAAGTTTTAGAAAACAAATTATTATCCAAAGCGGTTGTTACTTTTTAATCATGTGGAGTTGTAGAACCAATTTGAGGTCTGCATTTCTTGTTAAATTGCTTGTGTGCTTTCGCATATTATGCAGTCTCTCTGAGACTCTGACCTTGCTCTGGCCAATAACTCTCGACTGCTCTTCTCTTCGTGGCTGATTCGCTTACTTCATTGTTGTCTCTTGTTGATCTGTTTAACACATTGTTTCGAGTTGATAAATGAAGAACTTGGTGAGGTTTACTCACCAACGGATCGATCAACTTTCAGTTGTTGATATGCAAACTTGTTGTAGATCATGGTTCTTCTCTACCATTGTTCAATGCTCTTTCTTCTCCACATTGGCAATACTACGAGTGATCGTGTTTTCAACTTCCAACATCAATGGAGGCGGTGAACTTCTTGTACAACACGTGAATAACTCAGAACCATTTAATTTCTTCTGGTGCTAACGTCTAGGAGGATGTAAATGTCAATGGAGCGGTAAATTGGTTGTCCAGTGAGTGAATATCTCAAACCTTTCAATACTTCTTGGTGCTTGTCTTGGAGGACTTTCAAACACTCATTGCCTTCTATTTCGGTTCACGTCATTAGTCTACCGCGATCTGACTTCTTAGGAATACGTTGTTTAAGGTCAACGAGATTACCCCTCGTTGTTGAGGCGCACCAGTGATTGTTCACAATCCTTGGCTAAGGATGTTCTTGTAGACTGTAGTGCTTTCTTAGTAGTGTGGCTTGTTTGAATGAATAACTCTTAGCGCTAAAGAGACGAGACCTGGAGCTGCTCTTACAAAGAGTGTGCCTAATATACTATTGGGCCTTCGTAGGCCCATTATCTCTTGCCGACTGGCGCCTCCTGAGCTGGAAATCGGAGGGGATAAGATCAGGTGACTAGGGGGTCCCCTTAGTCACATGACTAAGCCAATCTCAGCCATCCAGCCTCATTAAAATCTGATGGTTCTAATTTATCTAGTTTAATGAAGGACAAGATTGTAATTACACATTTTATTTATTTAAAAATTAAAATAAAATAATAAAAAATATTCAATCGTCCCTCCACCCTCCCGTCGCGGTCCTTTTTGGGAATTCTTCCGTCGACGTGGCAACGCGAGTCCGGCGGCGGCAGCACGAGTCCGGCGGCGTGGTCCTCTCCCGGGGATTTTTATTCCCACCAGAGGGGGATTTATATCCCAACAAAGAGGGATTGCCATTTTCCTGGGGATTTTTTTCCCCAGCAGGAGAGGGAGAGAGAGAGAGAGAGAGAGAGAGAGAGAGAGAGAGAGAGAGAGAGAGAGAGAGAGAGAGAGAGAGAGAGAGATTTTCTGGTCGGAAATTTTTTCCCGCCGACCATCGTCGACGAAGAATTTTTCCGGCGATAGTGCTTTGTGATGTTTGTTGACATATTTTGTAATGTTTGTAAACTTTGTTATTTTTGTCAACCATGTTTGTAATGTTTTTTATGTCTAAAAAACAATCTAGTTGACTTTTGGATGAAACTTCTCTATATAGGGATGAAGTCTCCAAAGTCAACCCGGGTGTTTTTTCAGTTTGTATGGATTGTCGGTCTAGTTTGTCATTTTTGTCCACTATGTTCGTACTGTTTTGTATGTATAAAAAACACCCGGGTTGACTTTGGGAAGGAGACCCTCTATATAGGGATGGAGCCTCCAAAGTCAACCCGGTTGTTTTTTCTTTTGTATGGTTTGTATTGTTTGTCGGTCTAGTTTGTATTGTTTGTACAGTTCATACGTTTGTAATGTTTGTGAATCTGTTTGTATGTTTTGTCGCTTTAGTTGTATTGTTCGTATGTTTGTATGGTTTGTACTGATTGTAAATCCGGTCTGTATACTTCGTAATTTTCCATAATACCCAAACTACCCCTATCATTAATTAAATAACCCTTCCAACTTTTTAACCATTGAATTGAAGTGTCCAGATCTAATGACTAGAAGGGGCTTAGTCAAGTGATTAAGTACCCCTAGTAATGGATCCGCTCTCAAATCGGAGACATCAGACGGCAGAATTTCCTTCCTTCCCCAAGCAAAAATTAAAATCCCTAGAGAAACCTCCGAACACTCCCCCAAGTCAAGTCCGAGCAATCCTTTGAATCAAAAGAGTATACCAGAAGAAGAAGACTGAGCTCAAAGAACCCAAAAATGGTTCCAGGGCTGAGACAATTCACCGACCGGACCGGCGAAGTTGCCGGCGTGCCGGTGCTCGACACTGACAATGGGGAGGAGATGAAGTACGTCCAGCCCGGCGTCGCCATTGTTATCGCCAATCGCTCACCGGAATCTCCTGGAACTCTCTACATTTCCTCCAGGTAATCCATTCGCTTTGCAGTACTCTTCCTCGTTCTCAATGTCAGCAATTAGCAGCTGTCCGTTGTACTTTCCCTCTGCTTGATTGTTTGTTGGTGTGTTTGCAGGAAGGTGGTTTGGTTGAGCGATGTGGACAGGCAAAAGGGTTATGCTGTTGATTTCCTGGCGCTGTCACTCCACGCTGTGTCCAGAGATCCGGAATCTTTTCCTTCTCCCTGTATTTACACTCAGGTGAGCTTCTGAGTTCTCTATCTTCACGCTTCAATTGCTGTTTGAAAAGCTTCATATTTGTAAGTGTCAATGACTTGCAAGTTGTAATGTGAAATGTGCTAGTTTGGCATGCTTAGGGTTGCTTGAGTTAGCTCTTATCAACCGACATTGCTTCACTTTTGTACTGTTATAGTTCATATCTGATTAGTTTGCAAGCTTTCTGCTTCTCTTGCTGATCGTTCATCGGCTTTTAAGAGCTTGTTTTCGTGTAGGTAGTGATAATTTGTTTCACTAGGTGTGCATAATGAAGTACAGTACAATGGCATCCCTGATTTCACTGGTTAGCTGTGACTTATGGTGGTTATGCTTCTTGCTTGTTGGAGGAATGAAGTTTCTGACTTATCTTTTTTGCTTTGAAGATTGAGACAGAAGCTGATGATGATGAGTCGGACAAGTCGGATTCGGAGTGTCAAGAAACATTGGACTTATCTAAAGTCACAGAGATGAGGCTTGTTCCTTCTGACCCGAACCAATGTACTGTTCTTTTACATATTTCCTTTCCTTTCCTGTCCTTTTCATTGTGTTGTAGTAATTTTGATCTATCATCAGTTATGACGGATTTTGTTGTTATCTTTTGCTGCAGTGGATACTCTGTTCCAGATATTCTGTGAGTGTGCTGAGCTCAATCCGGAACCAATTGAAGGTGGGTGCATTTCTTCTTCAGTCCCCTCGTTATACTCTCTGCTAGTTAGTGAAGCCTTGGTATCCCTAGCCCTCTGAATGCTTGCTTTTTGTTTTCTCTCTCTCTCTCTCTCTCTCTCTCTCTCTCTCTCTCTCTCTCTCTCTCTCTCTCTCTCCAGAAGATGAAGGTTTTGGAGGCGGCAACTGGGTTTTCAGTGCTGACCAGTTGGCTGATAACGGCTCAGGTATTGTTATATAGCTAATTTCAATGGTCTCATTGGATCCAGTTTAAGGTGGCTTCTTTACAATTTGAACATCATATTTGAACATACTGATATATCTCCAGATGTGGAAGCCCCCGAATGGTTCTCCCCAAATCCAACGAGCTCAATTGGCCATTCAAATGGGGATCATGACATTGCCCGTACCGTGCTTGAGGTGAGCTTTTCTGCAACCGGCTAACCGCAGTTTAGATAAGTTTGATAAGATCCTTTTACAGCTCGATCTCTCATGTTATTGGAAACTTCTTCTTGTTGTTGTTGTTGTGTGTGAATTCGCAGCTGCAAATCAATGACCAACGATTTGAAGATGCGGAAGAGATGGAACGTGAAAACGAGAATAGCCCACATAACTGACTCCTTAGAGCAATGGTTGCAAGTTGTAATGTGTTTTTTAACAGCAATTCTACAACTTAAAGGCTCTCAGCAGTTCCTTGTAAATTTCAGACCCTGCATTTTGCTTTTGGATATGTAACCAGAGGGATATAGTGGCAGAAGATGTCTCGGTATGTAACGTTTTAGTGGGTGAAAAGAGTGTCTCTGCAATGCCAGAGATTATGGCTAAATCTTACTGCAATATCATAGGCAATTAGGCATTGTGCTTTTTCTGGCTAAATTGCAAATTTGATCACCTGAATTACTAGTAAATTTCACGTTAGCTACTAGAATTACTTTATTCCATCTATAGTCACTTAGATTAGGTTAACAGTTCAAGTTTGGTCACTGATCGTTAGTCTCCGTTAACTTTTGCTGATGTGGCGGTCAACTCTTATAGTTGACCGTTAAATAAGTGACGTGGCAATTAAAAAATAATAAAATTTAATTTTTCATAATTTCCACCTCATTATTACAATAAATTTAAAAAGAAATTCAAACAAAAAAAATTTCACAAACAATGTCTTTGTCTCTCACACTGTAAAAGTGCGAGCTTCTTCTCGATCTGGACTCTCTTCCCTCCGTCTCACTCTCTTCTTATCGTGATAATTAAAAGACGTCATAAGAACTGTCACCAAAATTTTCCCCCGTTCCCAAATCCCTCGTAAACCCTAGTACTTTGTTAGGGGTTGTTCCCCCTCTCTGATTCGCGGATTTGTCCTCCGATGGAAGACGAAGAGGAAAGGAATTCAATTCCCCCAACCCCGCTTCTTCGGAAGGAGAGAACCATTCTATTACCCCTGCAACGGCCACATCGACTACGGAGTGCGAGTCAAAGGATTGTGCCGTCGACGAGCCTGAGTGCCGGACGGAGGCGGAAGGGTTGTCTTTAGAGTCTCATGAACTGCCTCCCGGCGACGGGGATAGTGAAGCACAACTGCCGGCGAGTAACCAGGGGGTGATGTGCTCGTTGAAAGCGGAACTTCTGGAGGCGAGAAAGATTCAGAAGAGGAGGTTGCGGTTAAAAAAGAGGACAATCCTGATTTGATTGGTGGAGAGGAAGAGAGTTGTAGATTGGCTGGAATGACAATGTTGATTCACCTAGGAAAATGACGGGGAGGTTGTTGTGAATGAGGAAACTAAGAGTGGGGCGGCAGAGACTCAAGAAATGGAGGAATTTGTGATGATTGAGAAAGTTGAGGAGACAGAGATTGAAGATGATACAGAGGAGAAGAAGCAAAAGGATTTGGTTGGGGAGATTGGATGATGCTCTTGAGGAGAAAGATTAGTGGAAATTATTGAAAATTAAATTTTATTATTTTGTTAATTGCCACATCATTCATTTAACGGTCAACTATAAGAGTTGACCGCCAAATCAGCAAAAGTTAACTGAGACTAACGGTCAGTGACTAAACTTGAACTGTTAACCTAATCTAAGTGACTACGGATGAAATAAAGTAATTCTAGTGGCTAACGTGAAATTTTCTCTTCTAGTCTTCACTTCCTGGCTCGGCTGCTCTCCAAGTCAGGAGACTTTCGGTTCTCCTGAAACCGAACCAAAATCGATATGCGCAATGGTTAACCGAAATGGTTAAGAGGGTCGAGTTTCAATCGGAACCAAGACCCGATAAAACCCGAACTGATGACCAGAGTCCAGAGGCATCGTTTCTCTCTCTCATCGTCTCACAGAGCTCAATCTATTTTTTCTCTCTACTTGCTAGAGATGAAACTTTCCCGATTTGCGGATTCAGTCGTGGAGATTCGCTGCTTTCTTTGCGGCCGGCCCCTGTTACTGTCCCTGCAAACCGGTTTTTGAAACTAAACTAGAGCTGGAGAGTGTGGCGAGCGTGAGCTAAGCGGGTAAGCTACTACTACTATAGTACAGTTGAGAGGAAATCAAGCAAGCAGCTGCGGATAATGAATCTCGTCGTGATTCTCTCGGCGTCCATCGCTCTCGGCCTCGCTGTTCTTTATCTTCCGCTTCTGAAACTCTCTCCGCCATTCGATTTCCGCCTCTCCTCGTCCAAGTCGGCGAACCAAGTACCCTTTGCAGAGCTGGTGCTGAAAAATGGCGTTATTTTCACCAGCGACTCTTCTCTACCTTTTGCGGATTCCATGGCTGTGAGAAACGGAAGGATTCTTGGGGTTGGAAACTACTCGTCGCTCCAGGGATTGATTGGAAACGATACCCAGGAGTTGAATCTTCAAGGGAAGGTTGTGATTCCTGGGTTTATCGATTCTCATGTCCATTTCATTCCTGGCGGATTGCAGATGGCACGAGTCGAGCTGCGAGGTGTTAATCAGAAGGCAGAGTTTATAAACAGAGTGAAAGAGGCAGTCACAAAACTACCACAGGGATCCTGGGTTCTTGGTGGCGGATGGAACAATGATTTGTGGGGCGGAGAATTACCAATGGCGTCATGGATGGACGATTTCAGCAGTGAGAACCCTGTGTGGTTGACGAGGATGGATGGTCACATGGGGCTAGCCAATTCATTGGCACTAAAGTTGGCTGGAATCAGTAGTGATTCTTCAGAGGATCCAATTGGGGGAACTGTAATGAAAACCGCTCTTGGAGAGCCTACTGGACTGCTGATAGATGCTGCGATGAAACTCGTCGTAACCTCGATTCCAGAGGTCTCTGTCACCGAAAGGAGGGAAGCTTTGCTCAGAGCTACAGGGCTTGCCTTGAGGAGGGGTGTGACGACTGTTGTTGATTTCGGCAGATACTTCCCTGGAGGATCACCAGAAGATCCTTGGGAGGACTTTGCAGATGTGTATCAGTGGGCTGATTATTCAGGAAAGTTGAGGACCAGGATGTGCTTGTTCTTTCCATTGGAAACATGGTCTCGAGTAGCTGATTTCGTCAAGAAATCGGGGCGTGCTTTGAGTGATTGGGTTTATCTGGGCGGTGTTAAGGCTTTTGCTGATGGCTCTTTAGGTTCAAACAGTGCACTATTCCACGAGCCCTATTTTGACGAGCCTCAAAATTATGGCCTTCAGTTGATAGACATGGAGAGTCTTTTCGACATGACTGCAGCTGCAGATAAACTCGGACTGCAGGTTGCCGTTCATGCCATTGGTGATAAAGCGAACGACATGGTCCTGGAGGTGTACGATTCCGTTGTATCAGCAAATGGAAAGAGAGACAGAAGATTCAGGATCGAGCATGCTCAGCATTTGGCACCTGGGACAGTCGATCTATTTGGCGAACGACAGGTTTTCGCTTCGGTGCAGCCGGATCACCTACTCGACGATGCTGGCACTGCTGCCAAAAAACTTGGGACAGAGAGGGCTATGAGAGGGTCTTACCTATTTCATTCCCTCTTGGCTAGCAATGCACAGCTAGCATTGGGGTCCGATTGGCCTGTCGCTAACATAAATCCGTTAGGAAGCATCAGAACAGCAATGAAAAGAGTGCCTCCTGACTGGGGGAGTGCTTGGAATCCAGCTGAGTGTCTCTCCCTAACTGATTCCTTGATTGCGCACACTATATCAGCAGCTCGAGCATGCTTCCTCGAAGACAAGTTGGGATCTTTGTCACCTGGGAAATTAGCCGATTTCGTGATACTCTCCATCGATTCATGGGATGACTTTGCGGCAGAAGGGTCTGCTTCGGTTGAGGCAACATACATTGCTGGAGTGAAGGCCTATCCCTAGAACTGAGATATCACATTTGCTTGCAAGCAAACTGAGGGTATCTCCTTTTCCTCTTGTGTTCCGTTGCAGGAACTTTCAATTCAAGAAAAACTGGCGTTACTTGCTGACTGCCTCCGTTGCCTATTACTATTTCGTAGTATGGGAAGCGAATATTCGAGAAGTGTGAAGTGTCGCTGTGTCGGTATAAAGTATTAGAAAAGGTCCAGTGTTGGATGCATAGCTCAGAACTTGGCGTCCTTTATCTTGCAGATGTTGGCATCTCTTATCTTTGGCAGAAACCAAAACCATTTAGGTTCGCGAGCAATAAGAGCACCAGATAGCTGTGAGGTTGAGTTGAGTAGTAGTGCTGTAACTGAGACATGATGTAGTTTTTCTAGTCTGAACCAAACACCCAGTTAAAAGTCTGCTCCTTGCGAGCATAACATTCTTAACTCGGAGAATATGTAGTTCAAGAAAGCGAAAACCATCGACAATGTACATACCTCCATTCTCATGCCGATTCAACATTTCAACAAAATCAACAGATAACTTGTGAAGCAAAATTCTTTTTCTGCATTAACAGAATCTCTTGAAATGCAAAACAATAGCAGGTACACAGCTCGTACTACCATAGCCTCTAAGCAGTATTGGCTGGAACATACTTTTCAATAACATGTAAAACATCCAACACCTTCCCAACTCGGACTGACCCGTACTACAATAAACTACTTAAGAAGCCAAAACACGAAGCCAAACAGGGGACATTCTCAAGCATCAGCGATTGTGACTTCCACCTCAACACCTGGCTCGATGGTGATGGAGGTAATCTGCTTCACCACCTCAGGGGAGCTGAACAGGTCGATGATGCGCTTGTGAACACGGAGCTCAAATCTGTCAAAGGTGTTGGTTCCTAAACAAAACATTCAAATGCAAGTGGAGAAGTCAGCAAAAGACAGAGGTGGCAATATCAGCCCTATCCACACCAATATACAACCAATCATATCCAAGCCCATTTGAAGTATAACCAATGGGTTGACGGATAGTCGACTTCTCCAATCAAGACGTGAATCCTAGTAAGACGATGAAATTACAGGTTGAAATATGGGCACATCGAGAAATTTAATCAAAACTACACCTAAGCTGCAGATACACACAGCAGCATATAATCACGCAGATTAACAAATCGTGCCTAGTCCACTAAACAAGTTAGAACATCTAGTCACCGAGCATTACTTCTTACATAGAAACAAATCTGTCTCCCGACGAATTCAGTTCCAACACTACTCCTTACACAAACATGAGATGGTTCTATATCCAAATGATTTCGGCCAGCCATAACATTTCTGCACATTCTTACTCGTACCAGGAATTCTAACAGTACTACAGAGAGCTGAGTACTAGCTCAATCCATTTCATAAGGAATACAAATTCAGCAAGAAACAAAAATGGTCGAATGAGTTTACCTTCACCACAAGGAGACTTCCTGGTGGTAATAAGAAGAGTCTTGGTGGGCATTCTCACTGGACCCTTAACTCTCAACCTCTTGTCCTTGGCACCGCGAATCAAATCACCGCAAACTGCAAATCAGAAAGGAAAGGAAAAAACGATTCAAACACAAAATCCTGATCCCTTAGTTTACCCATCCTCATACACAATCGGACAGAGAAACAGAAGGCCACCTGATTCAGTAAGGAAACCCAGATAGAACAAACAAACAGACAGACCTTTCTCGAGGTTCTTCACGTTCTTGGAGGAAAGAGTGATCCTGATTTTGTGAGTTTGCTCTTGTGGCTCCTCAATCCCAGCCTTTGCAGGCTTAATCGCAGCATATGTCGCCATTTTGGTCCTTAGCCTGCCGTCAGAAGAGACCAAGAACAAGAACTCATATCAAAATCACATTCAGCATAAATGGAACGAAAACATAATGAGGAAACTTGTTCCAAATATAGCTTCAAAGAGGTGGGTCTATTCTGGAGAGCTTCACCTTCGTTAGGTCGGCGCGCAGGATGCAGATGGCTTAGAGTGGCGGCTTCTCGCTCCTCTTTCTGCTTTCGATGGAAGAAGGGGGAGACGAAGAATTGCAAACATTATACCTAGGTTAGGGGTTTTTTCCGCCGAGTAAATAATTTCGTGGGCTGCATCCGCTTTGGCCCAGTACGATATAACCATGGAGCTGGTTTAGCCCGGTAGTAATGATGGCAAATAATGAATTCCGATTGTCTGTATAGAGGCGGCGTTCGTCCGGGACGGGTATTACAAAACCAATACCCATCTCGTGGTAGGTCGAGTTCAACTCAGTTAATTTATCATGGATTGGGGATCGGAGCAGGTCGACTCAATATGTATGTAATTTTATATGAAAAATATTAGAAATATTCATTAATTTCGTTATAAGATCAAGAAAACAAACCATATTATGATAAATGTAGTTAAATCATTGGAGAAATTGAGGTTTTCACTAATTTACAACTTATTAAAGCTAAAATATGATGTAACAAAAGGAAAATCATAAGTAATTTGACTAAGATTACATGTAATATAGGCAAGAATTGATCGAGAATGGGGCAGGTCAAGGCAGGTCAGGTCGATGAGGGTACCCATGCCCGCCCCGCCTCGTCTACGGAGCGGGTCGAACCCGCCCCAAAACAGGTCGGGTAAAACGGGTCAGGTCGAAATCACCATCTACAACTGTCATACAGGGAGGGGCTAGTGTGCTAACACTTTTTTTGTTAGCGTGGTGCTAACACTAGCTCCAACCAATAGGAACATTTCGTTTAGATGATCTTATTCTTTTCATTTAAATGAGTTGACCATAATTAATGAAGGGAAAGGGAAGGAGGGGCACGCTGGGTATTAATAAAAATTGGGGAAGGGGAGGGAAGGGAAAGGGGATTCACGGTGTTTGTTTAGTTGATCTTTAATCATGAAATTATGATGGATTTGTCTCACATGTTTGCCTTTCATTATCAAATCCCGAATGAAATGTGGGATTTGCAACCACGGATTTGGATATAAAATATGGTCCAAATCCGTGGACCATCCGTGACCCTTAACAAACAATGGTTTTGTGTCAATTCCATGATTCTTGGGATTTGAGTGCCAAATCCATCTGTTAGAAACCCAATTCTTAGAACTTATAGGGACTGATCTTCGGTACCCGCAGTTATTTGTACGAATAGGGATTTGGGGAATTGGGGATATAAATTAAGGATTTAGATAAAAGAATTGGGGATTTAGGGTTGAAGAACAAAATTGGGGGAGAACAGAAGAATTGGCTGGCGACCTTTAGGGAAAAAGAGGACGAGATTTGAGAGAGATTAGAGACTAGGATTTGAGAGAGATTTATTTAATATTATTCTTGACTGATTATTACGTAAACCAGAAGTACATATTAATAGGAAAATACCAAAATCCTAACAAATAACCTAATTGGACTAAATCTCTACTAACCATAATAACAATTATCCTGCTAAAAATAATAAAGGAAACCCACAAGAACTGGGTTTCTAACACCATCACCCAAATCTCACAAGCAACTGATACCTAAATGGAGAAGGGGTGGAGAAGGAAAAATCCAGACAACAACTCTCCTAAAGCGATCCACAATTCTCTTAAAACAATCCACAATTCTTATGAAACAACTCACAAGTCCATGAATCAAACTATAAACATTATAAAACAAACCACAAATTCACCAAGCGAGACCACAAATTTACTAAAACATCCTACAAATACATTAAACAAGACCACAAGTTTACCAAAATATCCCACAAACCTTAAAACATACCATAACAATGAGAAACCTTCCCATAAAATATTGCCTATTCTCTTTACTCAAATAATAAGTTCCCATTAAAAAAATATTCCCCATTTTTTATGAGGGACAAGGTGTACATGGCGGGAACTACTCAAATTTCCGTAGGAGAATTGCTTCTTTGGTCGACAATTGCACCGCCCTTACCATCAATGGAGGAGATCGCAAGCAGCCCCACTCTGTTGTCGATCGCGAGAATCTACTGGTCCGAAAGCAGGGTGGATGAAGTGAAGACTGAAGAGAAGAAGGCATAGTAGCTACCAGATTTCTCGATCTCGACTGGTAGAATTGAGAGGATGAAGAACTAATGAGGAAGCGTCCTCCGGCGACGTCAGGACTTCTCTTACGTGGGTAGGTCGAGTCGGATTTGTACTATTTAGCGATTCAATCATGCATTTTGGTAATGATAAAGAACCGGATCAATGAGTGGGACAGTAGAAATGTCAAATAAATTGTGATAGCGGTCTTGTTCGTTGTTTGGACGCTTATTGATGGATCAAACAATTTTTCACGGTTCAACATAAAACCAAATGAATCACTACGGTTTAACTGGTCCGCTCGTTGTCTATTTTAATTTTTAACCATAATTTTTTTAATATACTTTAACGTAAATTAATACCTCGAACTAGAATTATTAATTTTATTTCTTCTTCGTCTTCTCATTTTCCAACCTCGTTGTCGACTTTACATGGTCCACTATCGAATGACACCGTAATTTTTAACTTGAATTAAAAAAAATTATGATTTCTTTTGTGAGATAGTTTGAATGACTTGTTAGATATTTTTGTGATGATATGAATTTGAAATTGTTGATGGTCAATGATATCTTCATTCTTAAATTAGTGTATTATACCAATGATGAATGTTATATATCATCAACGGTTAACCAACTGTTTTGTAACGATTAATCACTAAATCCTAAATCACTAACTCTTTCGGTTCAATGTTCGGTCCGGTTACGAAAACAGAGAACAATATCAAACCCGACCTCATCCACTAAAATCAAAACCATATTGGATAATTTGTGAAACTGTCGATTCAGGTAGACTTTTAGTTCGAGTGGAAACTCAATGAACCAAAAATGAATCACAACTACAATTCTCTCTAGGTAGGCAAGGCATCGGTCAATTTGATCAAGAAAAATGAGGACTAGAACCTAACCCAAAGCATGTTTGGTTCATTGCCGTCCAAGCCCCAAGGGTTGATAATTGATAGAATTGAATATTCCAATTCCATGACTTCTTTATCTTTTTTTTCCCGTTGAATTCCAGGTCTTCTTTATCAGCTAGGCTTGCTCAAGCTGCAAATTGAATTGAGTCGAGCGCAAATTCTTAAACAAGAAACTTGAGTTGTTCTTCTTAACGGTTAGTTGAAGTAAAGTTGAGTCGTCAAAGTAATGAATTATACACCAGTGACAGAAATAAAAACAGCCTCCGAAATTTTCATTAAAGTCATAAATTTTTCGTCTAATGTCTGCCATAAGTAACTGGTTTTGCCAAATCAGACACTGTTTTACCGCTCAATGTACATATTGGGCAGGAAGGGAAGTACAGAAATATCATCTCTCATACTAAACTAAATATCTCAACCAATAAGGAGAAGTCCATGACAAACAGAAACCAAAAAAAACATTTCTAAGAGTCAGCAATTGTGACTTCCACCTCAACACCAGGCTCGATGGTAATGGAGGTGATCTGCTTCACCACTTCTGGGGAGCTGAAGAGGTCGATGATGCGCTTATGCACACGAAGTTCAAATCTGTCGAACGTGTTGGTACCTGAAAAAGGAGACAAGGCATAGGGTAAGCACAAATTCTTCACCACCATCAACACTCCACAATCACCAATTCATCGCACCATCAACCCTAATTCAAAATCAATCTTTAACCCAACCTGTTCGAGCTAGTTGACTGCCCGAAGGGCAGATGATTGTTTCCAAGTATTAGAAACACAACGCATAGTAAAACTAGTTGGCCAGCCTACAGTGATTTTCCCAGACTGAGTGAGATAATGGGAACTTTTGTGGAAGTATGGAACATATAGACATTTTATCATCCCATGTATCAGAGGAAGCATGCGGGTGTCTTCTTTCTATAATGCATAGGGAATGAATGTGTTGTTACTATTGGACAAATTTCTCCTTCAACATTTTTCTTGTTCTTTGCCATAACGTCCATTCTGGGACAGTATACCGATTATCGAATCCTAGTTGCCATACACAATAGCATGCAATCACTTATGCAACATCTCCCCATAATCAACCTCATTCGGGTGGCGAATCAATGTCTAGCCCGCTCAACAAATCGGGGGCATCAGAATTCAGATCAAACGAGCATTACTTCTTCATGATAATAAAAGAAATTCTACCTCTCAAGCAATTCAGCACTATCAAACAGGCAGGAGTATAACCCAATGAATATTGGGCAGCCAATCTGTGCTATACATTGTACTCAGTCACAGAATCCTAATTCCTAACAGTACTACAGGGAACTTGACTAAAATCCATTCTACAAGGAATATAAATTAAGTAGAAAGAAACCAAAAATGGTCCTATGATATTACCTTCTCCACAAGGAGACTTCCTGGTAGTAATAAGAAGAGTCTTGGTGGGCATTCTAACAGGTCCCTTAACCCTCAACCTCTTGTCCTTAGCACCGCGAATCAAGTCCCCGCAGACTGTAAATCAGAACCAACAATGAGCCCGAAAACCAAACCATAACACCTTAATATACCCCTAAACACAAAGAAACAAAAAGGAAGCTGATGAAGAAAACTTGAATCGCGCGAAGCAAAGAAAACATGAAAAGCTAACCCTTTTCTAGGTTCTTCACATTCTAGGAGGAAAGAGTAATCCTGATCTCGTGAGTCTGCTCTTGCGGCTCTTCCAATCCAGCCTTGGCCGGTTTAATCGCTGCGTAGGTCGCCATTTTCCGCCGCTCTGCGTATCTTCATTAACACAGCAAGGATAAGAACCCACCACAGGAAATCCTATGATTTAAAATTAGCAAACATAATCAAAAGGGAGTACCAGTTGGCTGCATCGTTGCTTGCGACTTACAAGTGCTCAAGAAGGTTGATTCTCGCAGAAGCAGAATAAGAGACGGAAAGAGAGCTTCAATCGCGAGCAGCAATGGAGAAACACAGTAGACCAATATTCAGTAATATATACCTAGGGTTTTGTGGAGGGAAGGGGTGGAGTGTGCTCCGAATTGGGCCTGGTACTTTCTTTAAAATGGTCTGATAAATAAAAACTTGAGCCCATTTAAGGTACATCATTGGGCTCAAAAGAGTATTAGCTGGGGCTCCCGGGTTGCTTCATGGACTACAGGTAAGGGTGGGCACCGGACTCGATCGGCCCAAATACAGGAGAATCGAGATCAAATAGTGAAAGATATTTTAGGATCAAGTATCGAACCAATAATGCATTTGATTCGCTTAGTCCATTTTGTCTGTCCAAATGTAAATTTCGTACATTTTTCTTCTGTATTTTTAAATTTCATAGGACCAAGGACCGGACCATAATATGGGACGAACAAAAAGTTCGGATCTGTAAGTTATTTGTTTTCTCAATTGAGCAACTAGATTTTAATGGTATGTACACAAGAAAAAATCAAGAGGTCGCCATAAATATATGTAATGTATACATCACAAAGTGACTAGTATCACTTTATTATTACTATACCATATTATGAATTTGACTAATGACTATCGTTAGAATGACAAAAGCTTTTCTGTATGAGCCTAGAAAGAACTAGGCGGTTATGGGGCTCCGATCTAGACTCTCTCGTCCGATCTCCTCGGGAGTGGAAGAACCTGTGAGGCGAGGGGCGGCCCCCGGAATCTACGCTCCGACGCCCAAGTTAGTACGATATATGAGAGTGTATGGTATATAGAGAGATAAAGTATGAGAGAGACCTTAGGGGAAAGTGAGGAAGGGAAGAAGAGGATTTTTTATTTGGCTTGGAGGCTTTGGCCTCCTTATATAGAGCTTGGAGCCTCCTTAAGTGGGCTTGGGCCCGGGACACCTTGCGGTGAGCTTGGGCCCGTTTATAGTCGTGTAAGCATATTAATCCATATCCCAACAATTTCCCCTTTACTTCTTGTATTCTGTAAGAATGGAAGGAGTAACATAATGCGTTAATCGTGGATTAATTTGCCTTACTTACGAATCCGGATGATGTGGTTTTCCCTTGTGCGAGTTGCGTGATCATTTCCTTTGCCCCTTGCTTGACTTTCGATGTCTTGAACCAAAGCTCTCAAATCGTCAAGAGTTCCTTCGCTAGTCCATTGTTGTTAGCGCTAGTAGACCATAATTACGACCTATGTAGGGTGGCCCCCACGGCTTGAGGGTTTTAACTCAAGACACTCTTGTTTCGTGTCTTACCAATGTCGCGTCCATGTTGCCAGAAAGTCATGTGTCTTGTTAATGTCTTAGTTGTGTGAGGCAAGATCAACTGTTCTCTTCTAGGAAGCTTAGTACTTCGCCTTTTGAGAAGCGCATTAGTCTTTCAGCTTTCTGGAAAGCTTAGTGCTTCTTCGGCTTCCTGGGGTGCGCTTCTCCTTTTGCTTCTGGAGGAGCGCATTGCTCCTTCGTTCCCAAGAAAGCGCATTAGTACTTCAGCTTCTTGGGAAGAGCATTGCTCCTTCGCTTCCTGGGAAGTGTATTGCTCTTTCGCTTCTTGGGAAGTACATCGCTCATTCGGAAGCACATCGCTCCTTCGGCTTCCTCGAAACGCATCGCTCCTTCGCTTCTTGGGAAGCGCATTGCTACCTCCGCTTCCTGAGAAGCGCATCGCTCCTCGGCATCTTGGGAAGCGCATCGCTCCTTCATCTTCCTGGGAAGCGCCTCGCGCCTTCGGCTTCCTGAGAAGCGCATCGCTCCCTCGGATTCCTCCGAAGTGCGTCGTTCCTCGGCTTCCTGAGAAGCGCGTCGCTCGCTCCTTCGCTTCCTAAGAAGCGCGTAAGTCTAAAAGCGGTCTTCGAGCCTTTGCCGGAGGTGGACAGCGTGAATTGTTCCCGGAGGGAGCATCGTTCGGAAGGGGGAAGCATTTCCCCGAGGGAGGATCGCTATGAGGCGAGAAGCATTCCCCGGAGGGAGCATCGCTCAGTGGCGAGAGTCTTCGAGCCTAACCCGGATGTCGGAGGCGTGAGTCTTCAAGTATCCGATAAAGAAGCAAGTGGCTAGTGCCAAATATATTTAGAGCATAAATACGAGCATAGAACTTTATTGAGAATATCCTAACATGGTGGTGATGCCTCTTCATGGCGTGGAACCGAGTATATATTATTGAATAAATTACTTAGCTTGGTAGGAGAGGCACCAAGGATGTATTAATAGGAAGCGTTGCATACTTGTATTAAAGAAGTGCTTGTGGCGTAGCGGTCAGCGTCCGCTTTAGTGAGGAGCTGTGTAGAAGTTCGAATCTTAGTGAAGGCGTTTATATATATATATAAAAATTGAACCACTCCTGGCTGGTGGACTTGCGACGTGGAACGCATGAGATTGGAGGTGGGCCGCATTGGGCCTGCTATTTGATGGAGCGGGTCGGTTCGTGGACTGGTCTAGTGGTAGGCGAGCCTTTGGGATGGACGGAAGCGGACCGCGTGAAAAAGGCGGTTCAAGTGCAGGCCGCGCGCGCTCGTGGACTGGTCCGGTGGTAGACAGCGGGTCTTGCCAGATCGCATGAGTGGTCGGAGAGCAAAGTGGGAGGCGGGCCTCGTTCTGAGGCGGTAAAAAATAACTCACTTGTTCTAGAAGAAAATACTTTGCTTGAGAGAAGTTGGCAAGCGGTTAAATATTGACTGTTGCGTCTTTGATTAACGAAGCATCCTTGTGGCATGCTGGTCAGCGGGTTTCCTCTCAGACACAGGTCGGCGGTTCGTAGGTTGGAGGATGTTGATTTCTTATTTTTTAATAAGGTGTGCGTCTGATGCAAGACGGGCTTGAGAGGGGGCCGCGGGCCGCGTTCGATGTGGTGCTGAAATTGCGGGCCGCTTAGAGCGTAGCGGGTCGAGTCTGGTGGGCCAATCTTTGGAGGTGGATTGGTGAAAGTCGGATGGTGGGCCCTGGACTGAAAGGCGGTCCTTGCATGGTGGGCTGTCTTTCTTCGGAGATGGACTGGTGGGCGGTCTTTCATATCGGGCTTCATGTGAGCTTGGATGGGTTGAAGAGTTTGAGACGGTCCCAAGATCGCGTTGAATCCTTTGGCTTGTAGTGGAAAGCAGGCTTCAGCTTATAAATAAATACAAAGTGGACTATCTAGCGTAAGTCATTGCTGTAGTCAACTGGATGACCTCCATGTTGTGATGTTGAGAATGTGGGTTCAAAGCTTGGTGGAGGCAGTTTGATTACTGTCTCTTTTTTATTATTATTGAATGCTTGAAGCTCCTCCATGTGATTGGGCCGTCGGAGCGGTCCTTGAGAGATGTGGACCGCGCCTGGGGCTATGGGCCGAGTTGTATAGCAGCGAGCCTTGAGAGATGCGGACCGCCATGGTTGAGCTGATGCGTCTGGGACAAGTTGTATAGCTGAGGCTTGGTGATTACGGTTACTGCTGAAAGGTGAAGAAGGCGGGCCCATGTAAGACTGTGAGTACTAAACTTTGGGCAGAGAGAGGAAAGTAGCTGTCCTTTTCTTTGCTTTTCTTCTTTCTTTTTGCACAAACTGACATTGATGTGAATCCACTGTAGCAGACAAGCTGCTTTTTGAATTTTGAGAACCAAAAATCGAGTAAGATTGGGAGAAAGAAAAAGATAGCCTCCTCCTCTCCTTCCTTTTCCTCACTGGAGATTCAGTGTCGCATCCTTCCTGATGGTCAGAATAATTCTATTTTGCATCTTCCTTGGTGGTTTGGGCAGACCGAAGGCCACCGACCTGTGGAGACGACGGGTTGCGCTGGCAAAGGCGAAACATGGTCAACTTACTGGAGATGGATCTGCTGTCTTCGTTGAGCATTTTTTCTTCTTTTTCTTTGATTTTCCTTCCGTTTCTTGACGGGTCTTGGTCTGATTTTGTAGAAATCATTGTTGCTTGTAGTTGGTAGAGGAAGAACAGATTTCCTCCCTCCCTCCGAAATCGAACGATAGAGTTGCAAATTAGAGCCCACGGTGGGCGCCAATTGTTTGAGCCTAGAAAGAACTAGGCGGTTATGGGGCTTCGATCTAGACTCTCTCGTTCGATCTCCTCGGGAGTGGAAGAACCTGTGAGGCGGGGGGCGGCCCCCGGAATCTACGCTCCGACGCCCAAGTTAGTACGATATATGAGAGTGTATGGTATATAGAGAGATAAAGTAGAGAGAGAGACCTTAGGGGAAAGTGAGGAAGGGAAGAAGAGGATTTTTCTTTGGCTTGGAGGCTTTGGCCTCCTTATATAGAGCTTGGAGCCTCCTTCAGTGGGCTTGGGCCCGGGACGCCTTGTGGTGGGCTTGGGCCCGGTTATAGTCGTGTAAGCATATTAATCCATATCCCAACAATTACCTTCTCCACAAGGAGACTTCCTGGTAGTAATAAGAAGAGTCTTGGTGGGCATTCTAACAGGTCCCTTAACCCTCAACCTCTTGTCCTTAGCCCGCGAATCAAGTCTCCGCAGACTGTAAATCAGAACCAACAATGAGCCCGAAAACCAAATCACAACCCCTTAATATACCCCTAAACACAAAGAAACAAAAAGGAATCTGATGAAGAAGAAAATTTGAATCGCGCGAAGCAGAGAAAACATGAAAACCTAACCCGTTTCTAGGTTCTTCACATTCTTGGAGGAAAGAGTAATCCTGATCTTGTGAGTCTGCTCTTGCGGCTCTTCCAATCCAGCCTTGGCCGGCTTAATCGCTGCGTAGGTCGCCATTTTCCGCCGCTCTGCATATCTCCATTAACACAGCAAGGATAAGAACCCACCACAGGAAATCCTATGATTTAAAATTGGCAAACATAATCAAAAGGGAGCACGAGCTGGCTGCATCGTTGCTTGCGACTTACAAGTGCTCAAGAAGGTTGGTTCTCGGAGAAGCAGAATAATAGACGGAAAGAGAGCTTCAATCGTGAGCAGCAATGGAAAAACGCAGTAGACCAATATTTAGTAATATATACCTAGGGTTTTGTGGATGGAAGGGGTGGAGTGTGCTCCGAATTGGGCCTGGTACTTTCTTTAAAATGGTCTGATAAATAAAAACTTGAGCCCATTTAAGGTACATCATTGGGCTCAAAAGAGTACTAGCTGGGGCTCCCGGGTTGCTTCATGGACTACAGGTAAGGGTGGGCACCGGACTCGATCAGCCCAAATTCAGGAGAATCGAGATCAAATTATGAAAGATATTTTAGGATCAAGTATCGAACCAATAATGCATTTGATTCGCTTAGTCCATTTTGTCTGCCCAAATGTAAATTCCGTACATTTTTAGAAAACAAATTATTATCCAAAGCGGTTGTTACTTTTTAATCATGCGGAGTTGTAGAACCAAATTGAAGTATGCATTTCTTGTTAAATTGCTTGTGTGCTTTCGCATATTATGCAGTCTCTCTGATCCCTGCCCCGTCCAATAACTCTCGACTGCTCTTCTCTTCGTGGCTGATTCACTTACTTCATTGTTGTCTCTTGTTGATTGGTTCAACACATTGTTTCAATGTTCTATTTGTTGGAAATGATAAAATCTGCAATGCAATGATATCCCCTGAAAATTGATAAATGAAGGACTTGAGGTTTACTCGCCAACGGGATCCATAAGCTTTCAGCTATGGATATGCAAACTTGTTGTAGATCATGGTTCTTCTCTACCTTTGTCTAATGTTCTTTCTTCTCCACATTGGGAATACTATGAGTTTTTCAACTTTCAACGTCGATGGGATAGGTGAACTTCTCGTACAATACGTGAATAACTCAAACCTTTCTGGATTCCTATTTAACGCCCTAAAATTTAAAATTAATCGCCCTAAATTATACTGAACGTACGTTTTTGCCCCAATTAAAAAAAATCAACCCTGAACACGTTGGTGTGGCCGAGCTTCCCAATTAAATCTCCCTATACTTTGAACAAACGAGCTTTCGCCCTCTGCTCCTGCTCACGTCGGAAGATCAGCGTCGCCGTCTCCCTCTGATCTACTCACCTCGCCCTACAATCGGCGCCGCCACACCCAGACCCCCTGTCGTCTCCTTAGCCTCACCCTAAATACTTAACCGACGAGCCGCCGCCCTCTGCTCCTGCTCACGCCGGACGATCGGCGCCGCCGCCCACAGAGCCCCTATCGTCCTCGTCCCCTCTCCCACCAAGAAGTGCAGCCGCCCTCAGACCTTCTGCGCCGCTCGCCAAACCAGAAGCGCACCGTCGCCGTGGAAGAAGGAAACCATAGCGGCGCGTCGCCGAGGAGGAAAAAGAAGCCTCTGAATCAGATTGCCGGCCGCCTGACGATAACTTCTTCGTCCTCCTTCCCCGTCTAGCTCAGACCATCAGAGTAACAGCGGCGGTGGGGAGCATCGTCGGCAACATGAAAGGGTATGGGTTGGCGGCGGGATTGTTCATTTGGGATTTATGTTAGAAATTGGGTTAGGGGCAAAGGTGTCCATTTTTTAAATTTAGGGCGGATATTTTAAATTCTTAGGGCGTCAAATATTAACTCCCTTTAATTTTTCCTGGTGCTATGCCTAGGAGGATGTAAATGTCAATGGAGCGGTAAATTGGTTGTGTGAGTGAAAGTCTCAAACTCAAAGCTTTCAATTTTTCCTGGTGCTTATCTCCAGGAGGACTTTCAAACACTCATTGCCTTCTATTTCGGCTCACATCATTAGTCTACCGCGATATGAGGATTTTTCCCAGAAATAACACTATTTATTTTTTTCAAAAATAGCACACAGTCCCGAAAAATTCCAAAAATAGCACCCTTTATCGAAAACCGCCACCCCATCCCGCGGTTTACACGAAAACCGCTAGGTGGGGGCGCGGTTTTCGCTGAAAACCGCATGGTTACTTGACGGTTTTGAAAACCGTTGCCCAACCTAGCGGTTTGGTCCTTTTTCCCCCGCGATCAACTCCTAACCTCGGCCGAAACTTCAAACGAACGTAACTTTGCATTCGGGTATTCAATAGGCGGTTTGGTCCTGCCTTCGTCTCGAAAAAACGTCATTTGCTACCCCGAACGAGCCTTTTTTCGATTTCGTCAAACTTTAGGCGGCCATAACTTTGTGCACCAAAATCTGAACGTCATGAATTTTTTTTTTCATTTCGCTAACTTTTTAAGGACTACAACTTTTATCATAGGCATAATTTCGGAATGTACGTGGATTTGTGAAAAGGGAAGGTAACGTTATTCCCAAAACCCTGTATTTCCAATAATGATTCATGTTTTGAAAATTTCTTCCTAGTAAAAATTGTAATCCTTCAAAAGTTATGCGAAATGAAAAAACAATTCATGACGTTCGGATTTTGGAGCACAAAGTTATGATTGTTCAAAGTTATTGAGGATTGTTAGCGTTCAAGGACTAAAACTTTGTCAATATGTAATTGTCTCAACAAAAGATTTGTAGTTGTGTGGTGATGATGTTATGTTAAATTTAGTTAACTATTTATATTATCAGGGTTCGAACCACCACCCCACAACATGTTGCTTTTTTAATCTTTACTAGATAAAAAGATTTAATATAGGATGATGGTGTTTCGAACCAAAGACGTCTTGCATAAAAAGAAATCTTTACTAAATAAAAAGATTTAATATGGGATGATGGTGTTTCGAACCAAAGACCTCTTGCTTAAAAATAAACAACTGAACCAGTAATGCCAAGACCACTTATTGTCATTATTTGAAAAAAAAAATTTCAAACCGCTCCAGTCCGTGCGGTTTTCGTCGAAAACCGGGCCCCAACCCTGCGATTTTCGAGAAACGATGCTATTTTTGGAATTTTTTGTGATTGGGTGCTATTTTTGGAATTTGTTTTTTAAAACATTACTATTTATGGAAAAAGTACGAGATATGACTTGTTAGAAATATGTTGTTTAAGGTTAACGACGCTACCCCTCGTTCTTGAGGCGCTCCGGTGATTGGTTCATGATCCTTGGATTGTTAAGAATGTTCTTGTAGACTGTAGTGCTTTCTTTGTAGAAACTCTTTGCGTCAAAGAGACGAGACTTGGAGCTGCTATTACAAAAACTGTGTCCAGTATTTTATTGGGCCTTCGTAGTATTACCTCTTGTCGCCTGGCGCCTCCTGAGTAGGGATGGCAACAAAACCCGAACCCACGGGTACCCACCCGACCCAACCCGGTCAACGCGGGTAAAATCCGTGTTGACGGGTTTTGGACTGGGTTCGGGTTTAAACTCGCTACACTATTCACTGGGTCGGGTTGGGTTTGGATTTATGTGAACCTGACCCATGGGTACCCGCCCACACACATATAATTACTTTCCCGGTATATTTAATATTCTAAGTAATATATCTTTCTTAAACAACTAATATTCTTTATGTTTGTGGAGACATGTATAATTTGTTCTTTCTAATTGTTTAGAATGAAGTTGATATTATGAAGTGGAGAGTGAAGAAACTTAGTAGACAAGGAAGAAGCTTTCAATTAATCTTATTGTTTATAGATGTTTATCTTAAATTTTGAACAATTTGTATTGATAATTTGCGGTTTGCTTGTATGCTCTAGATTGGTGTTTTTTGTATGATTAATTTGTATGAGAAAATTGATGTTAAACTTTTATTTTGAAAGAAAATTGTTATTGTAAATGTTTTTCCACAAAAACCCACGGGTACCAATGAACCCGCGGATACCCAGCGGGTTGGGTTGGGTTTGAGTTTCTTAAACCCAACAGGTTTTACCCCGAATTTTTTTGGCGGATAAACCCATGGGTTTGAATTTGGGTTTGACAAAACCCGCCCCAACCCGACCCATTGCCATCCTTACTCCTGAGCTGGAAATCGGAGACATCAGAAGGCAGAATTTCCTTCCCCAAGCAAAAATTAAAAACCCTAGATAAACCTCCGAACACCCCCCAAGTCAAGTTCGAGCAATCCTCTGAATCGAAAGAGTATACCAGAAGAAGACTGAGCTCGAAGAACCCAAAATATGGTTCCAGCCTCCAGGACTGAGACAGTTCACCGACCGGACCGCCGAAGGTGCCGGTGTGCCGGTGCTCGATATCAGGGAAGAACAATGGTTCTTCGCGACAACCAGTTAAAACAGGGGAAGCAGAGTCGACCGTTGCTCCTAACGGTATCGTTCCAATCATCAACCGAAGAACTCCCGCTGCCCTCAACGCTGTCGTTCCAAGGAGCAAAGTTAGAAGCTTCAGTGATGTCGTTTCTGGCATATTTCCACTTAGTCACTGATCTTTTCATTTCTGTTGCTTCCTGTTTTGGTATTGTACTTGCTTAAGACACAAGTCTTGTCTTCTTCCCCAAACTGTCTGTAAACCAAAACTATCAGCTATATAAGCTGGAAACCAATGAATCAAAGCTAAGCTCTTTTCCCTTCAACCCTAAAAGGTTGTCATGGTATCAGAGCCTCAACCCTAGCCGCCACCTTCATCCACCATGGCTGATAATCAAACTCAAACAATCAACCCACCAGATCCATCACCCTCCACCCCTCCAAATGTTGACCCCATGTCTGACCCCTTCTACCTCCATGGATCTGAACAACCTGGCACCCAGCTCGTTGCAGAGAAGCTCACTCCCACAAACTACATAGACCGGAGCAAAGATTTTCACAACGCCCTTGGAGCCAAGAACAAACTTGGTTTTGTGGATGGCTCCATCCCAGACCCAGGGCCAGGTCATGCTACTTCTTGGGCATGGACCAGGAACAACATCATGGTCCTCTCATGGATCCAACAAGCAGTGGATCCTGGCATTCGCAAGAGAATCATGTCTTCCAAGACAGCCCTTGAAGCCTGGAGAAGCCTACGTGACAGGTATGGCCAAGGAGATATGGTTCGGATTGCAGAACTGATTGAGTCAATCTGTACTCTCAAGCAAGGTAATCTCCCTGTCACTGAATACTATGGCAATCTCATAGCCTTAAGAGACGAACTTGACAACTATCAACCCCTCGAGCCTTGTGCCTGTTCACCTACTAGCCACAACACTTGTCGAGCTATGTTACTGGTCCTAGGCTACAGGGACACAAACTATGTCATCCAGTTCTTGAGAGGTCTCAATGACAACTTCTCAACTGTGAGGTCACAAGTTCTATTTGGTGATGCTTTACCACCAATAGATCGTGTTTTCCAGCGTATGCTTCAACATGAGAGGCAACTCAGTGGTTCTTCCTCAGTCAAAACCCTCACCACAGGAGGCCTGGCCTTTGCTGCACATGGTAACCCCAACTATCTTGGCAAGAATCCCAGACCCTATTGCAGCTTCTGCAAATTCACAGGCCACACAGAAGACACCTGTTACCACAAACATGGACGGTCACCAGGCATGATCAACCCCAAAACCTCAAATTCAACAAACAAACCTCTCGAATAATCCTACTGCAAGAAGCAAGGGCACACTGAGGATAAATGCTTTCAAAAGCATGGTTATCCATCCAGGCCAAACTCCAAAACCAGAGTCTCTGCCAATGCCACCACCACATCTGCAGACAATGATGAAGTCAAACTCACAAAGGCTGAATATGAGAAGTTCTTGAGCCTTATGAAAGAAAAGGACTTGAACAAGAAGAACCTCACCTCCAGCTTTTCCTTTTCTGCTGCTACTTGGGTCAACCAGTCTCCTCCTACACCAGGTAAATACAGTTTCACTGTCCCTCCTGGTAGAACATCTCAACATGCTTGGATCTTAGACACAGGTGCCTCAGATCACATTGTGTGCTCTCTGACTTACCTGGTTCACCCCTAACCCATATCAAACATCCCCATTACCCTACCAACAGGTGATCAAGTTCATGCTACTCACATTGGCACAGTCACCTGTGTTGCCAACCTTTTTCTTGAAAATGTCTTATTTGTTCCCCAATTTAACTTCAACCTCATATCAGTAAGCAAACTCACCACAAACCCTTCACTTCACTTAACCTTCTTTTCTACTGTCTGTCTCATATAGGATTTGCAGTTGAGGAGGATGATTGGTTCTGCTAAGCTCACTAATGGCCTTTACCTTTTTGATAGAACCATCATAGATCAACCTCCCACTCCTTTTGCTGCCACTTCTGCACAGTCTTTTGACCTATGGCACTATAGATTAGGTCATGTTTCACATTCCAAAGTCCCTCATTTGAAGAAAATCTGTACATCTATAGAAACAGATGCTTCTTTACCTTGTGATACTTGTCATTTTGCTAGGCAGAAAAGGCTTCCTTTCCCTTGTAGCAACACTGTTTGCACAAGACCCTTTGAACTCATACATGTTGATCTCTGGGGTCCAAACTCAGTCCCCAGTCATGATGGTTTCAGATATTTTTAACAATTGTTGATGATTTCACTTGCATGACCTGGATTATCCTCTTGCAAACCAAATTTGAAACCAGACTCAAACTTCAATACTTTTGCAACCATGTTAACACACAATTTCAACTCTCAATCCAGAAAATCAGGAGTGACCAGGGCCAGGAATTTCAAATGCATGAATTCTTTAACACAACTGGTATACTCCATGAGCAATCCTGTGTAGAGACACCCCAGCAAAATAGTAAGGAGGAAAGAAAACACCAACACATACTCAATGTTGCTAGAGCTCTCAAATTTCAGGCAAACCTTCCTTCTGGTTTTTGGTCTGACTGTGTTAAACATGCAGTCCATCTCATCAACAGAGTTCCCACCCTTGTTTTAGACAACCAAACTCCCTACCAAAAACTATTTCAAAAGCCTCCTGATCTCACAGAACTGAGGGTGTTTGGCTGCCTTTGCTATGCCAATACACTAAACAGACATAGAACCAAGTTTGATTCTAGAGCTAGGAAATGTGTCTTCCTAGGATTCACTACTGGGATAAAGGGATACAAACTCTATGACTTGACCTCCAATGAGGTTTTCACATCCAGGGATGTCCACTTCTATGAAGACAGTTTCCCCTTTCAAACAACCACATCTTCTTCCTCCCTTCACAGCACCTATTCCCCTTCTCCAACCCCAGCCATCTTTGATGACTTCAGCCCCACATACCAACCTGTTACCAACTCCTCTCCTGAACCAGACCAATTTCTTAATGACCTGCATTTTGAAACTGACACTGATGATGCCTCAGATTCCCAATCTCCCATACAACCTTCTCCTCCCCAACCACCATCACCACCTGCTCCACCACAACCCCCCCACCCTCCTCCCAGGAAATCAACCAGAACTGTCAAACCACCAAAACACCTACAATCTTACCATTGTAACCTGCTTCAGCAGACTTCTTCTACCAATCATTCTCCAACACAGCAACATCCAGGTATCACCTATCCCCTTTCTTCTGTGATTGATTACTCTAATCTTTCACCCTCACACAAACATTTTGCTTTGAGCATTTCTACTCTCAAGGAACCAGAGACATATCAAGAGGCATTCCAATAAGATGAATGGAATGATGCCATGAAGTCTGAAACTCAGGAATTGGAGGCCAACCACACATGGGACATTGTTGAAAAACCACCCAACACAAGGATCATTGGCAACAAATGGGTCTACAAATTCAAATTCAATTCTGATGGATCACTTGAGAGAAGAAAAGCCATACTTGTTGCCAAAGGCTACACTCAACAAGAAGGTGTCGATTACCAGGACACCTTTGCTCCTGTTGTCAAGATGACCACAATCAGACTATTTCTGGCTCTTGCTGCATCCCAATCCTGGTTTATACACCACCTCGATGTAAACAATGCCTTTTTACATGGTGATTTAGACCAGGATGTTTACATGAAGCTTCCCCCAGGATATTCCCCACCACCTGGCTTCAAGCACCCAGTCTGCAAACTCAAAAAATCCCTCTATGGATTAAAGCAAGCTTCTCGACAGTAGTTCTCTAAGCTAGCAGATAAGCTTCACAGTCAAGGCTACCAATCAAGCAAAGTTGATCACTCCCTCTTCTTCAAAGCAAATGGCAGTTCTTACACAAGCATTCTTGTCTACGTCGATGATTTGGTTGTTGGTGGCAATGACCTCCAAGAGATTGCCAATATCAAATCATTTCTGCACCCGGCATTCAGCATCAAGGATCTTGGGAACTTGAAATTCTTCCTGGGAATTGAGGTGTCTAGAAGCAGCTCTGGCATCCACATTTCCCAGAGGAAATACACTCTCGAAATTCTAGAAGATGCTGACCTCCTGCTTTCCAAACCTGCCTCAACCCCAATCGACTACAAGAATCACCTCTCTGCTTCACACAATGAACCATATCCAGACCCAGAATCATACAGACGCCTTGTTGGGAAGTTGATTTACCTCACTACCACTCGCCCCGACATCAGTTATGCCACCCAACAGGTCAGCCAGTACATGACTAATCCCAGCAATGCTCACTATAAGGCAGTTCTTTGCATACTGCGATATCTCAAGACTGCTCCTTCCAGTGGCATCTTCTTTTCATCCAAATCCAGTCTTCATCTCAAGGCCTTCAGCGATTCGGATTGGGCTGCTTGCGTTGACACCCGTCGCTCAGTGACTGGCTACTGCATCTACTTGGGGGACTCCCTGATTTCATGGAAGAGCAAAAAGCAAACTACCATATCTAGGTCATCCTGTGAGGCAGAGTACAGGGCGCTTGCCTTCACCACCTGTGAGATCCAATGGATTCTCTATCTTCTTCGGGACTTCAACATCTCACACCCCACCCTGCAACTCTATTCTGTGACAATCAATCGGCGATATACATAGCAGAAAACCCAAATTTTCACGAGCGAACTAAGCATATCGAACTCGATTGCCACTTCGTTCGTGAAAAGCTTCTTGCAGGGACGATCAAAATTCTCCACGTCTCCTCCACCCATCAGCTGGCCGACATCCTCACCAAACCACTTCCACCGGCCACCTTTATTGCTCTCTTCTCCAAGCTCGGAGTCCACAATCTCTGCCCTCCGGCTTGCGGGGGGTATTAGGGAAGAACAGTGGTTCTTCGCGGCAACCAGTTCAAACAGGGGAAGCAGAGTCGACCGTTGCTCCCAACGGTGTCGTTCCAATCATCAACCGAAGAACTCCCGCTGCCCTCAACGCTGTCGTTCCAAGGAGCAAAGTTAGAAGCTTCAGTGATGTCGTTTCTGGCATATTTCCACTTAGTCACTGATCTTTTCATTTATGTTGCTTCCTGTTTTGGTATTGTACTTGCTTAAGACACAAGTCTTGTCTTCTTCCCCAAACTGTCTGTAAACCAAAACTATCAGCTATATAAGCTGGAAACCAATGAATCAAAGCTAAGCTCTTTTCCCTTCAACCCTAAAAGGTTGTCACTCGACACCGAAAATGGGGAGGAGCTGAATCAATGGAACGTGAAAACGAGAATAGCCCACATAACTGACTCCTTAGATCAATGGTTGCAAGTTGTAATGTGTTTTTTAACAGCAATTCTACAACTTAAAGGCTCTCAGCAGTTCCTTGTAAATTTCAGACCCTGCATTTTGCTTTTGGATATGTAACCAGCGGGATAGAGCGGCAGAAGATGTCTCGGTATGTAACATTTTAGTGGGTGAAAAGAGTGTATCTGTAATGCCTGAGATTATGGCTAAATCTTACCGCAATCTCATAGGCATTGTGCTTCTTCTCTTCTAGTCTTCACTTCCTGGCTCGGCAGCTCTCCAAGTCAGGAGACTTTCGGTTCTCCTGAAACCGAACCAAAACCGATATGCGCAATGGTTAACCGAAACGGTTAAGAGGGTTGAGTTTCAATCGGAACCAAGACCCGATAAAACCCGAACTGATGACCAGAGTCCAGAGGCATCGTTTCTCTCTCTCATCGTCTCACAGAGCTCAATCCGTTTCTTCTCTCTACTTGCTGGCGATGAAACTTTCCCGATTTGCGGATTCAGTCATGGAGATTCGCAGCTCTTCTTTGCGGCCGGCACATGTTACTGTCCCTGCTACTAAACTAGAGCTGGAGAGTGTGGCGGAGCGTGAGCTAAGCGGGTAAGCTGCTGTTACTACTACTATAGTACAGTTGAGAGGAAATCAAGCAAGCAGATGCTGATAATGAATCTCGTCGTGATTCTCTCGGCGTCCATCGCTCTCGGCCTCGCTGTACTTTATCTTCCGCTTCCGAATCTCTCTCCGACATTCGATTTCCGCCTCTCCTCGTCCAAGTCAGCAGACCAAGTACCCTTTGCAGAGCTGGTGCTGAAAAATGGCGTTATTTTCACGAGCGACTCTTCTCTACCTTTCGCGGATTCCATGGCTGTGAGAAACGGAAGGATTCTTGGGGTTGGAAACTACTCGTCGCTTCAGGGATTGATTGGAAACGAGACCCAGGAGTTGAATCTTGAAGGGAAGGTTGTGGTTCCTGGGTTTATCGATTCTCATGTCCATTTCATTCCTGGCGGATTGCAGATGGCACGAGTCGAGCTGCGAGGTGTTGACCAGAAGGCAGAGTTTGTAAGCAGGGTGAAAGAGGCAGTCACTAAACTGCCACAGGGCTCCTGGGTTCTTGGTGGCGGATGGAACAATGATTTGTGGGGCGGAGAATTACCAATGGCGTCATGGATCGACGATTTCAGCAGAGAGAACCCTGTGTGGTTGACGAGGATGGATGGTCACATGGGGCTGGCCAATTCATTGGCACTAAAGTTGGCTGGCATCAGTAGTGATTCGTCAGAGGATCCAATTGGGGGAACTGTAATGAAAACTGCTCTTGATGAGCCTACTGGACTGCTGATAGATGCTGCGATGAAACTCGTCGTAACCTCGATTCCAGAGGTCTCTGTCACCGAAAGGAGGGAAGCTTTGCTCAGAGCTACAGGGCTTGCCTTGAGGAGGGGTGTGACGACTGTTGTTGATTTCGGCAGATACTTCCCTGGAGGATCACCAGAAGATCCTTGGGAGGACTTTGCAGATGTGTATCAGTGGGCTGATTATTCAGGAAAGTTGAGGACCAGGATGTGCTTGTTCTTCCCATTGGAGACATGGTCTCGAGTAGCTGATTTCGTCAAGAAATCGGGGCGTGCTTTGAGTGATTGGGTTTATCTGGGCGGTGTTAAGGCTTTTGCTGATAGGTTCAAACAGTGCACTATTCCACGAGCCCTATTTTGACGAGCCTCAAAATTATGGCCTTCAGTTGATAGACATGGAGAGTCTTTTCGACATGACTGCAGCTGCAGATAAACTCGGACTGCAGGTTGCCGTTCATGCCATTGGTGATAAAGCGAACGACATGGTCCTGGAGGTGTACGATTCCATTGTATCAGCAAATGGAAAGAGAGACAGAAGATTCAGGATCGAGCATGCTCAGCATTTGGCACCTGAAACGGTCAATCTATTTGGCGAACGACAGGTTTTCGCTTCGGTGCAGCCGGATCACCTACTCGACGATGCTGGCACTGCTGCCAAAAAACTTGGGACAGAGAGGGCTATGAGAGGGTCTTACCTATTTCATTCCCTCCTGGCTAGCAATGCACAGCTAGCATTGGGATCCGATTGGCCTGTCGCAAACATAAATCCGTTAGGGAGCATCAGAACAGCAATGAAAAGAGTACCTCCTGAGTGGGGAAGTGCTTGGAATCCAGCTGAGTGCCTCTCCCTAACTGATACCTTGATTGCGCACACTATATCAGCAGCTCGAGCATGCTTCCTCGAAGACAAGTTGGGATCTTTGTCACCTGGGAAATTTGCTGATTTCGTGATACTCTCCATCCATTCATGGGATGACTTTGCGGCAGAAGGGTCTGCTTCGGTTGAGGCAACATACATTGCTGGAGTGAAGGCCTATCCCTAGAACTGAGAGATCACATTTGCTTGCAAGCAAACTGAGGGTATCTCCTTTTCCTCGTGTTCTGTTCATCTGTTGCAGCTACTTTGAAGCAAGACTGGCGTTGCTTGCTGACACTACCTTATTTGCCTATAAATATTTCGTAGTATGGGAAGCGAGCATTAGAGAAGTGTTTGTAAAAGGTATTAGAAAATGTCCAGTTTTGGACGCCTGGCTTAGACCAACTCCAATGCAAGACCCCAAATTTGGGGACCTTCATCCCCAAATTTGGGGATTGCCCTCATTTTTTACAATTTGGCTCCAATGCTACCAACCTCAAATTTGGAGATCTCCATTTTATCCATATTTACATTTACTTAAAAGTGTACTTATCGAAGTCTTAATATAATTCGTTAATGTTAATTTTTGTATAGTTCGTCATTATTTTAAGATACAAATTTTCCGATAGAATTTTTTCAAATTTCGAGACCGAATTTTTTTGGCGAAAAAATTATGGACCTAATTTTGGTTTACACACAACACTTGAAAATGATAAAGCTAAAGGAGTTCACATAATAATTTAAATGATACAACTTAGAGGTTACACGCAACACTTGCTAATGATAAAACTTAAAAATAACACACAAGCTCAAACAAAGAAGACTTGTTTGCTCGATGTCAAGAAGCACATCGAAAAGACGTAGAGCGGGCCTTTGGAATTCTTCAAGCTAGATGGGCAATCGTTCGTGGCCCTGCGAGATCTTGGGATGTTGCCACAATTAATGATATAATGTTGACATGCATTATATTGCACAACATGATAATAGAGGATGAGCAAGTTGATTCTGACGATGAGATGGAAGATAGTCTTGATTATGAGGTCCACGACCAACAACCAACTAATGTCAATAGAGATATTCCAACTCTAACTGAGTACTTGGCTAGGAATAATAGGCTTCGTGCTGCACCAACACATCATGGGCTTCGTCAGGACTTGATCGAGCATATTTGGAACTTGCATGGAAATAATTAGTTATTGTTGTTGCTTGGTATTGATGTTGGGATGCTTTGTAATTCAATTTAAAGTTGTAGTTGGTGACAATTTGATTTGTAATGCAAGAACGTATTTTCAATTCAATAATATATTTTCCATTCTTAGTTCGAATTATTTTTGTGTACACAACTTCTAGATAATAAGCATAATTTTAAATAAAATGAATTCAATTTAAGTCATCTTAGGAAATAAAATAAATTAACCAAACTATTAAACACAAATTAAATAGACAACCTTCACTTAATTAATACAAACATTAATACACTAACCTTCACTTAATTAATACAAACATTAAACACTTAATGAAAAAAAAAAGGGCGGAACAACCGCCAGGAACGGGCGGTGCGGCGCACGCGCACGGGAGAGCCCGCCCCGTCACTTTTCTGCTCCCCATCAACCCCCATAAATGCAGCCTCCTCCATTTCCTCCTCCATATTTGGAGACCCAAATGGAGGCCACCCCCATTAATGCGGTTTATTACTTTTTTGCAGGCTGCATTGGAGAGCTTCCTCCCCCATTTATAAAGGCTCCCCCATTTTATGGGGGCAGCATTGGAGTCAGCCTTAGAACTTGGCGAGCAATAAGAGCACATTATTGGTTCAGCTTTGGGTTACGGAAAAAGAACAATGAAATCCGATTTCCCAGGCCTAAATACCGACTCAATAGAGGTTTCACTAGCTATCTATGAAATGAGTAGAAATAATAACGTAACTGAGATCTGGTCATATGAATAGAGCATTTCCAATCTGAACCAAACACCTAATTAAAAGTCTCCACCTTGCAAGCGTAAGGTTCTAAACTTGGAGCATCTTTCGCTGTTCAAGACAGCAAAAATCATCGACGCAGTACATGCCTCCATTCTCCTCGTGCAGATTCAACATTCAACTAAAGCAACAGATAACTTGTGAAGCAAAATTCTCTTTTCTGCATTAACAGAATCTCTCGAAATGAAAAACAACAGCAGGTACACAGCTCGTACTACAATAGCCTCTAAGCAGTATTGACTGGAACATACGATTCAATAACATGTAAACATCCACAACCTCCCAACTCGGACTGACCGGTACTAGAATAAACTACTGTAGAAGCCAAAACAAAGGATCCATGACAGCCAAACGGAGGACACCCTCAAGCATCAGCGATTGTGACTTCCACCTCAACACCTGGCTCGATGGTGATGGAGGTAATCTGCTTCACCACCTCAGGGGAGCTGAACAGGTCAATGATGCGCTTGTGAACACGGAGCTCAAATCTGTCAAAGGTGTTGGTTCCTGAACAAAACGTTCACATGGAAAATGGAGAATTCAGTTGAAGATAGAGGTGAGAATATCAACTATCCCAACCAATTTACAACCTATCTTATCCAAGCCCCTTTGATGTATAACCATTCGGTTGACAAGTAGACAACTTTAACAATCAAGGCATGAATCCTAGTAGTACAACGAGGCAAATTGAGGATTTTCCCCAGGGTAAGATGACGAAACTACTTGTTGAAATATGGGAGCATCTTCGAATTTAATTAAATTACACCAGAGTTGCAGATGCACACAACAATGTTTGAGGATCGAGATTGACAAATCGTGTCTACCGCGCTTAAGCAGGTTACAACATCGAGCACACCAAGCATTACTTCTTACTGATAAAGAAATCTCTCATCTCAGAAAGAATATAGTCCCAACATTAATTTTACACGCACATGAGATGGTTCTATATCCAAATGAATTCAGCCAACCATAACAGTCCTGCACATTCTTATTCATACCCAGAATTCTAACAGCACTACAGAGAGCTTAGTACTTGCTCAATGCATTTCATAAGGAATATAAATTCAGCAAGAAACCGAAATGGTCGAATGAGTTTACCTTCACCACAAGGAGACTTCCTGGTAGTAATAAGAAGAGTCTTGGTGGGCATTCTCACTGGACCCTTAACTCTCAACCTCTTGTCCTTGGCACCACGAATCAAATCACCGCAAACTGCCAATCAGGGTTAAGAAAAACGATCAAAAACCAAACACCCAATCCCTTAATTTACCCATCCCCATACACAATCACACAGAGAACCAGAAAACCAAACAGACAGACCTTTCTCGAGGTTCTTCACGTTCTTGGAGGAAAGAGTGATCCTGATCTTGTGAGTTTGCTCTTGTGGCTCCTCAATCCCAGCCTTTGCAGGCTTAATCGCAGCATATGTCGCCATTTTGGTCCTTAGCCTGTCGTCAGGCGACACCAAGAACAAGAACTGTTATCAAAATCACATTCAGCATGAAACCAGCGTAATTTTTTTTTTTTTTTGTGAAGAAACTTGTTCCAAATACAGCACCAAAATGCAGTGGATCAAGAAGTAGTTATATTCTGAAGAGCTTCACCTTCGTTAGGTCGGCGCGCAGGATGCAGATGGCTTGGAGTGGCGGCTTCTCGCTCCTCTTTCTGCTAACGATGGAAGAAGAGGGCGACGACGAATTGGGAATCTTATAACTAGGTTAGGGTTTTTTCTCCGCCGAGTTAATAACTTCGTGGGCTTAATCCGCTTTGGCCCAGTATCTCCTTTTGGGGTATAGATAGTAGGAATTGTGGACTCGTATAATTCATCGAGCTTGTTTGGCCCGGTAATGCTGGCAAATAATCAATTTCGGTGTGTATAGAATAGGAGTGTGCAACGGTTTGGTCCGGTGATAGAACCGTGGTTCATTTGTGAAAGATATATTAGAACTAAAGATCGGACCATCTTTGCATTCGGTCCATTTGGTTAGGTCCAATTATTAATTCGGTCCATATTTTCTTAAGTAATTATCAAATTCATAGGACCAAAGATCAGATCGTATTATGCTCGATTCGATACTATCAAGTCCAAACACCGGTTTGGTATAGTGATGTCCAGTATGAGACCGGACCATTGCACATCCCTTGTATAGACTATAGAGGAGGCTTACATGGGTTGAGTGAGTCAGGTTCGAAATTGAAACCATTTTAATTTTTAACCATTCAAATCGGTGATGACAATATCAAACCCATGCCCACTAAAATGAAAATATTAAAATCCATAACCAATACAAAACCCACTAGTTTCTCACTTCATGCACCCCACACTATCAAGGGCGATTAGTTTTGGTCGGCTTTTTGGGCGGGTTGATTCGAGTTTGAGTTAGTTTTGTTAAGCCATAATGCATTTACTAAAAAAATCGCTAATCATTAATCAGGCAAGGGATGACCTGTTAGAAACGGAACACCAAAAAGAACGGTTACTGAATCTGGAGCCAAGTCGCGGGCTAGATCACTTTCTTTAAGACGTTCGCGGCACTGCCTTCGTTGCGCACGAAAAACTATCAATCGATCGCCTCTAATATAAAATAGCTCCTCTTGGGCGCTCGGCGATTTTGTGCGAAAACTGAAACTCTTTGAACACTCTCGCGCTCGTGTTTCTGCTCTTTGGGAGACGATTATTTATAGGAGCTGAAACCTCGAAGAATATACCTCTGACTTGGGTAATAAGTCGTGTTAATTGGAAGATAATCACATCTTTAATTAAACCACGCTGGTAAGATAATTCTTGGCCGAATTATCTCTCGAATATTCTATTGAGTTAATTATCTTCGCATCGGTTAAGGATAAAAAAAAATTAATTTGGAATTTATATAAAAAATATAAGTTACTCCCTCGTCGACCAACCCACTCGGGTGGACGACGCGTGCACTCCTGTGTGTGGTGATCCGTTAGGTCCTCTTTCTCCCATAAAAGTGAATCACCCCAAGGGGCATGTCCTTAAATGGTCTGGTATGAGACCGAACCATTACACATCCTTGTATTAGTATAGACTATGGAGGAGGCTTACGTTGGTTGAGTGAGTCGGATTTGAAATTGAAACCATTTTAATTTTTAACCATTCAAATCGACGATGACAATATCAAACCCATACCCACTAAAATGAAAATATTCAATTCCATAAGACCATAACCCATCGAAAACCCACTAGTTTCTCACTCCATGCACCCCACACTATCCAGGGCGATTAGTTTTGGTCAGTTTTTCTGGGCGGAATGATTTGGGATTGAGTTAATGTTGTTAAGCCATAGTGCATTTACTAAAAATAAATTGATAATCATTAATAAGTTAAGGGATGACCTGTTAAAAATGGAACAACAAAAAGAACTGTTGCCGAATGCGAATATGGAGCTAAGTCGAGAACTAGGTCGCTTTCTTTAAGACGTTTGCGGTATTGCCTTCGTTGTGCACGACATAATATCAACCGGTCGCCTCCAGGATAAAACAACTCCTCTTGGGTGCTCTGCGATTTTGTGCGAAAACCGGAGTTCTTTAAACACCCTCTTTGGCACACTAGTTTATTACTCCATGCACCCCACCCTATCAAGGGCGATTAGTTTGGTCGGTTTTTCTGGGCGGTTGATTCTGGATTGAGTTAGTTTTGTTAAGCCATAATGCATTTACTAAAAAAATTGCTAATCATTAACCAGACAAGGGATGACCTGTTAGAAATAACACAACAAAAAGAACGATTACGAATATGGAGTTAAATCGCGAACTAAATCGCTTTCTTTAAGACGTTCCCGACACTGCGTTTGTTGCGCACGATAGACCATCAATCGGTTGCCTCCATGATAAAACATCTCCTCTTGGGTGCTCGACGGTTTTGTGCAAAAACCGGAGCTCTTTGAACACTCTCTCGCTCGTGTTTATGCTCTTTGGTGGTGTGTCTAGAGGGGTTTGCGAGACAACTATTTATAAGAGCTGAAACCTCGAAGAATATACCCTCTAACTTGGGTAATAAGTCATGTTAATTAAGAAGATAATTACTTTCTTAATTAAATCGAGTCGATAAGATAATTCCTGGCCAAATTATCTCTCCAATATTCTATTGAGTTGATTATCTTTGCATCGGTTAAAGATAAAAATAATTAATTAATTCAAAATTTCTCTATAAAATATAAGTCAGTCTTCGGTCGACCCACCCACTCGGGCGGACGGCGTGTGCGCGTCTGTGTGTAGTAGTCCGTTAGATCCTCCCTCTCCCTCAAAAGTGGGTCACCCTAAGAAACATACCCTTAAGTGAGATAACCTACTAATATTTATACCACTTTGTTAGGAATTCTTCCACCAATATGATATTCTATCCTTAGCTCCTATAGCTTTCAAAAGCTATTCACTTATTTCCAACATGACTGAAGTCGAACATAAGAATGCCATAACAAATGCATGTTAAGACTTCGATTTATGAAGCTCTATATTGGTCCTTCAATTCTAAATGTACCCAAAGATAAATCCTTTTGAAAGACTCAAATAGGATGGTGCTTATATTATATGAGTACCAAAAATGCATAGTAGATAGACTTATTTGAGGAACTAATATTACCATTTGTATAAAAAAGTATTGTATGAATGCGGTAACGACGGATATATTTCAGGAGTATAGTATATTTCAGGTGATATGGTTGATAGATGTATTTTGATAAGCTCCGACCAATCTCAACGGTTAATTATTATTTTATAATAAATTGAACTTTGAGTTTGGATTTAGGGAATCGGGGTTTGAAGTTTATCCATAAGAGATTAGAGTATAGTATCATACCACAAACTCGGTTAAAATCATAATCTAGACAGAGATATCTCACTAAGAGAATCTAAAGTATAATATACTCCAGGAGTACACTAGTTTGACCCGTATGAATACATGCATCAATCATAATAGTTAATAATTGTACTTTTAGGCTGGAAATTTATTGACCCGTCCCTGACCCGCTTATAAATGGTCAACTTATATAACTGAGCTGTCCCACCCATGTTTCCTTGATGACCTTGTTTGGCCCTCCAGTGTCGGGATGGGTCGGGTCAGTGGTTCGGTTCAAATCAATGCAGTGGTTTTTTGAAAATTACATTTTGGTAACCAAATGTTTTTTCTTACAATTTAGTACCAAAATTTTATTTTTTACAAATAAGTATATAAGTTTGGGTGATAAAATTACATTTTGGTACCTTTAGATATTTTAACTTGCATTATAACACCTAAACTTATACAAAACAAACATTTCCAATGTATTGATATAAGAAATTTCATACACTAGTTGTGTTGTGGCTTGTGGGTTTGTGGCTATGAATCACAGGGTCAAAAGTAACCCAACTCTACTTGATCCTTAAAAGGTCAAAAGATTAACCAACCTTAAACTGACATTGTAGAAAAAGGATCGAGACAGGTTAGGGTCAGCTGTTTTATAGGTCAAGCTCACACCCCAACCCTTTAGAGACATCCTAGGGTTGATAATTGATAGAAATGAACATTCCAATTCAAGGACTTCTTCATCTTACCAGCTAGGTTTGATCAAGCTACAAATTGAATGGAGTCGAGCGCGAATTCTTTTACAAGAAACAAAAGTTCTTCTTCTTTATGGTTAGAAGAAGTAAAGTCGAGTAGTCATAGGAATGACTTATACAACAGTGACAGAAATAAAAACAGCCTCTGAAATTTTCATTCAAGTCATAAATTTTCCGTCTAGTGTCTACCAAAAGTAACTGGTTTCACCAAATCAGACACTGTTTTGCTGCTCAATGTACATATTGGGCAGGAAGGTAAGTACAGAAATATCACCTCTCTACTAAACTGAATATCTCAAACAAAAAGGAGGAGTTCATGACAAACAGAAACCGAAAAAGCATTCCTAAGCGTCAGCAATTGTGACTTCCACCTCAACACCAGGCTCGATGGTAATGGAGGTGATCTGTTTCACCACTTCTGGGGAGCTGAAGAGGTCGATGATGCGCTTATGCACACGAAGCTCAAATCTGTCGAACGTGTTGGTACTTGAAAAAGTGAGTACAATGCATAATGTAAGAGCCAATTCATCACACCATTAACACTTCATAATCACCAATTCATCACACCATCAAACTAATTTAAAAGCAAATCTTTAACCCAACTAGTTCAACATAGTTCCAAGTGTTAGAAACACAACGCATAGCAAAACTAGTTGGCCAGCCTACAGTGATTTTCCCGGACTGAGTGAGATATTGGAAGCTTTTAAGGAAATATGGAACATAGAGACATTTCATCAAAACAAACCCTAGGTGGAGATACACAATAGCATGTAACCACTGATGCAACATCTCCCCCATAATCGGCTTCATCAGGGAAGTGAATTTAAGTCTAGCCCGCTAAACAAATTTAGGGCAACAGAGCCACCTAGCATTTACTTTTTCATGATAAATGAATTTCTACATCTCAATCAATTCACTACTTCACACCCACAAGGAGCATGTCCCAATGAATACATGGCAGCCAATCTGTGTTATTCATTGCACTAGATACAGAATCCTAGCAGTACTACAGGGAAATCAGGACTTGACTTAAATTCAAGTTATAAGGAATATAAATTCAGTAGAAAGAAACCAAAAATGGTCCAATGATTTTACCTTTTCCACAAGGAGACTTCTTGGCAGTAATCAGAAGGGTCTTGGTGGGCATTCTCACTGGTCCCTTAACCCTCAACCTCTTGTCCTTTGCACCACGAATCAAGTCCCCGCAGACTGTAAATCAGAACCAACCAAAGATTCGGAAACCAAAGCTACAACCTCTCAATCTACCCTAAACCCAACAAAAACAGCACACCGAAACCAAAGGGAAGCTGATGAAGCAGAAAACTTGAATGCCGAGATGCACAAGCGAACCTTTTTCAAGGTTCTTCACATTCTTGGAGGAAAGTGTGATCCTGATCTTGTGAGTCTGCTCTTGTGGCTCTTCCAATCCAGCCTTGGCCGGCTTAATCGCTGCGTAGGTCGCCATTTTCCGCCGGTCTGCGTATCTCCATTAACGCAGCAAGGATAAGAACCCATCACAGCAAATCCCATGATTTAAAATTAGGAAACATAATCAAAAGGGAGCATGAGCTGGCTACATAGTTGCCCCCGACTTACAAGTGCTCAAGAAGGTTGATTATCGTAGAAACAGAATTGCGAAACGGAAAGACGGGGCTTCAATCGCCTGAGCAAGGAGCAGCAATGGAGAAACGGTGTAATCGCAAAATTCAGTGATATATAAGCTAGGGTTTTGTGGAGGGAAGGGGAGGAGTGTGCGCCAGATTGGGCTTGGTACTTTCTTTTAAATGGTATGATAAACAAAAAATTGAGCCCATTTAAGCTATCTCATTGGGCTCAAAAGAATATTAGCAGGGGCTCCCGGGTTGCTTCATGGGCTGTAGCCTGTTGGGACATTGTTTGCGTCAGAATATATTGTCGCGACCATGCAAATTCTGTAAAACATAAAACGTAGGTACACTTTATTTGCAAAACTGTACACTTTATTTGCAAAACTGCTCTTTACTGTTTCATTTTTTGTCGTTTACTGGAAAACGGTTCTTCAACTTATCACATCCAGTCCCTACCAAGTTGCCGTCTTCGAACCGACGACGCCTGACCTTCGAGAATCCGCCGGCCATGCTTCCAGTACAGCCATCCCCAGCCGATCCCATCTAGCGTATGGTCACTGCCCAGAAACTTCAAAAGATTTTGAACCCAAAATGCCATGCTTTCCGTATTCCCCGTCCCCTCATGCTCTTACCCCAAATTCCGCGATCGTGCATCGCCGCTTCAATCTCCTCCCGTCCCCTCATCTCTCCGATCTACTCCACGATGTGACGAGCTCTGCACACCTACTCCAGCACGCCACCTCTTTTCAAGATTGCCACGGGAAGACTCATATTCTCTCCATCGATCTCCACACGCCACAGCCCATGCTTTCTGTAGTCCTCGCCTTATTCCTTTGTATTAGAAGAGCCTTCTCTTCTCTGGTGAAACTCGACCACCACCAGCAGATGAAATTCCATTCCACACCATCGACTATTTCCAGACTCATACTCTCTGTATCCAGTCTGAAGAATCATTGCCGCCATAAAGAGAGGACTGAGAAGACTGCTTTAATGCCAAATGAGGTCGTCGGGTTCGACTGAAGGAATATGGGAAGTGAAGATTCGATTGGAATGAGGGGAATGAGAGCAGGCGACGTTTGGTTCGAAGTGTTGGGGTCAATATGGGATTGAAGGAGCCGGGCGTGGATTTGTTAGGGGTTAGTTCCCCACTTTTGCCTCTTCTTCCTTCTACTCTTCTATTTTCTTTCTTTTTACTTAATCCCGTGACCAAACGAATTTCCTATGGGCAAGGTTGAGAAGGCAGTGGAGGTGCCTGTGCTGTGGACAACGAGTAGTGGAAGAAGGTAGGTGTGCGGATGAGGCAAGGAGAAGAATGATGGGTTAGTTCTCAGCTTTCTTTCTTTCTTTCTTCTCTCATGTGTGCTCCAGAATTCTGATATTGGGTTTGAATCTGATAACTAAACACCTGTTTTTTCTATTAAAATGGTGGCTACTTTATTCTGAGAACAAATTGGCTTTCTGCAGGTTGGCTAAGAGTTTTTTTTTTTGTGAAGTTTGCACGCAAAAAGACGTTGAAGATGTATGATTTGAGCATTCTTAAACGGCTCCGCCGGAGTTCATGACAGTGGGGAAGAAGACTGCTGCAGGGAGTGTGGATTTCATGCAGGTTTTGGGTTGGACCGATCAGCAGTTCTTTAGGACTTCAGAGAGTGTTTAGGAGGTCTGCAAGATGCTCGAAGAGACTCGGTCCATTTCATACTCCGGTATGGCTCAGCCTCTCCATTTTCTGTTTTTAAATTGATAGAATGTTGTGGTTTCCAGCAACCAAGCAGTAGGAGCGAAGTGGTGCCTCGCCAGGAAGGATAACTCAAATCTTTACACCCAACTAAAAACCACTTGCACTGGCTTGTGGCTGGCACTTGGAGATGCTACACCAGTTTATGTCTGCGTCTGGTCCATTCTTGGATCTAATCACAATATTCATATTCACTTGCGTGATCTAATCACAATATTCATATTCACTTGCGTGCCCTGGCAGTTAGTTTCTTTGCTTTTTGTCTCCAGATAATCATCCAATCTGGGTATTTGCTTTCTTCAATTTAACATTGCTCCTTATTAATCCTTTCAGTCAAAATTCTTGAGGTCTGAATTTTAACTGGGATACTTAATCGAAGCTTACTGCTCAAGATCAGAGCAACAAGTATGACAACACGGTGAGAGTGGAACAGTTTTAAGCTTGAGTATGTATTTGACGGCCACTTTAAAATCAACTAACCTAAGCTAGCTACTACTGCTAATCCTTGCTTTGTCTCTCTCTTTCTGGATTCCATGGCAACTTTGAATTTGCCTGCATATGGTATGGTCTTAGATACATATATGGACTGTTCAAGAAGAGCATTGCCAAGGAGGGACAACCTGATTCCATGCAGGTGCAGACACTCGAATACACAGTTCAAACTTTGGCACTGCCATCAATGCATTTTTTGACCTGTTATATTTTGTCATTTGTGAAGAAATTCTGTCACCGAATACAAGAAGTCCTGCACCCATAGAAAGCATTACAAGTTCTAAGAATCATACATTCTGCCTTCTGCGTACTTGACAATCAATCGGTTATACTATAGTCATGTGTTATTGACTAGGGATTGTGTGTGTATACCCTCTGTGTTTGCTTAACTTACAACCTAGCATATTGAATTTCATTTCTGTCCCATTTTTATCTTACAAGGTGTTGTCTCTTTTTGTTTTTGTTTTTGGGAACACTTAATGCGTTGTTCTTAAGAGGATGATGTTGTTCTGTAGGAAACTATATGCTTCTTTGGAACATTAATCAAGACTTTGTACACTACTTGATATCTTGGAATTCTGTGGGTTGTTTGTGTGATTCAAATGAAAGGTTCAGTGAAGCTCTGGAAAGTTTAGTTAATAAGTTGGGAGAGGATTTTGTGGCTGATAATGTAACAATAGCCAGTTATCTTTTTTCTGTATCAGGTTGTGTTTGAGTAAAGGCGAGACTTTTAGGTTCTGAACACAACCTCTTTGTGGCAGCATGATGGTTGGATTTCTTTCTGATCAGAACCTGTGCATATTTGAGTCTTACATTACATGCAATGTCAGAAGTAGCCTTCTTACTAACGGTGTTACAGCTTTCATGTCATACAATTTCAACAGTTAAAGCAGAAGCACAGGTTCAGACATTCATTTCGCAACTGTTGGAGAGAAGAAAGAGAGCTTTAGATTTTCCTATCTTAATTGGTAGTTTTCCTTTTTTACTAGACCAGATAGTGGTTTATTGCTTGCTTCGAAGTTCTGGTATTGCCTTCTCCCATCACTGATTCTGTTTTTCCCGGTATGAATGAAATGCAAAAGAAAAAGTAGAAGGAATTAAGGAAAGATGAATAGTTTTGGCGGTCTGGGGTATGGAACTGAAAGTTGGGATGGGGTTTTGATGTGGGTATACTTTCTATTACAGAATGTATGCATGCTTTGAAAGATAAAGTGCTAGCTGATGAACTACCTGAAATTTATAAAATGGCCCACAATTCTCCATTAGCCAATCTATCTTTCATGTCGAATATTGGTTGATCATTGTGTGTATTAGTTATTACTTTGCCCCCGCCCCTGTAGCAAGGTATTTCTTGGGCATAGCTTCAGTATAGAATTTCAAAAGCTAAGGAAGAGTTTACATGCAGTTTAAGTTAACTCTGCAGACGTATGTTCAGTAGAAAATCATTATGATTTTAAGTTGTCTTGCATATATAATAAGGATGTCTAAGTTTTTAAACAATAAATCAAGGTTCTAAAAGGCGCTAGGCGTAAGGCAAACGCTCAGCTCCTGACTTGCGCCTTGTCCGATTAGGCGTAGCCTAGGCGCGGCTAGGCGTTCAGAGCATAAATGGAAAAAATTCTCAAATATTTCATGTTTTATGGAATAATTCATATAATCCAAGTGCATATAAAATTAGCAATGCCTAGTTCTTAACAGTAAAACACTTAACATAACAAATAACAAGCAAATAGTGACCAATCATCTGCTAATAGGTGCTTATAGAGGCAAGAAGCTTGTGCTACGTACCGAGGAGAAGGAAGGAGCAGCAATGACGAGTTTCGACTTTATTTCCCACTATAGCAGCGGAGCGGTGTGAAGGCGAGAAGAGTGATCGATGACTTTCTCCTGCGGCGGCAGAGAGCAGCAAATGGGGCGAGAGCTAGGGCGGAAGGCGGTAGCAGATGGGGCGAGAGCTAGGGCGGCAGCAGATGTTACTTCCCGTGTTTCTGATTTTCTAGGGCAAAAGGCAATTTTCTGATTTTCTAGGACAAAAGGAAGAGTATTGGGTTTAACCGCCTAAGCTCGCCCAGGCACACCTTCTCTCCACTAGGCGCAAACTAAGCGTTATTCCTACCTACTAAGCGCTACCAACGCTTTTTACAACGCCTATGACCAAGTCAAGGCGATCCTCCACCGCCTAGCGCCTAATTAGCCTAGGCGTGCGCCTAGGCGCGCCTTCTTGAACCCTGCAATAAATACGGAAGTTGATTCCTATATATAATTTCTAACTAATTTCGTTACTACTGCATTGCTTTTAAGTATTACTAAACGCTACTAAATCTCCTGCGGCGTAGCCGTGGGTATTGATACTAGTATCTATTAATTCATCAGATTCAAAATCAAGGGCGGAGGCTCTTATTACTAGATGAACGGAGGGTGACGAAAGTAGTGCTTCCGGCTGCGGTGGTCGGAAACTGCAAGGGAACGAGAAGGATATTACCAAATCTTGGAATGACATGTTGAAATATCAAACGGGAAGAACAAGTCTTTTGGACGAGGGAAGATGGCAGCAGGCAGAATGTCATGCGATTGGCAAGCAAACATGGCAGTTCATGCTAACGATCAGATGGGATGAACCAGAAGTTTCGAATATTACGTTCGAATATCAAAACAGAAGGAACTCGTTCATTGAACAATCAGAAGAAGATGGTAGCATGTGAAGACAAATAAATGACGACTCATGCTGATGCTCGATGGGATGAACACAAAGTTTGGATCGTTAAGTTACTTGTTTTATCAATCGACCAACTAGATTTGAATGGTAAGTAACCTAATTATCAAAAACTTTATTTTTCTAGTGTACACAAGACTTTGACAGGAAAATTCAAGAACTCAATGCAGTCAACAGAGTAGTTATTATGATGCCATATTACACATGTAATGTATACATCACAAAGCTACTAGTGATCAAAGTAATTGTAATTTATAACTATACCATATTTTGTATTTGACTAATGACAAAAGCTTTTCTGTATTTGTCTACAAATGGCCGACTCCAGGGCTGGGCGCGCGGAGTACAGAATCCTTTCAGGTTTTGCTAGATGAGAGCCGATCATCGACTTCCCATATAACAGGTGGACGCCTCGATAAGAACTCTTTCACACGAATACAATGCTCTCGCTTGGCAGTGAAACAGCAGGGGAATCAGTTTGCTTGATGTAACCAGGCATGCCAAGTGTGCCTCTCTTCTTCTCCTCCATGGCTGCCAGCACCTTGGCATTGTAACTGGGTGAATTTCTGGCTATCAGAACCAGAACCAAGATGAAGATAACCCGGCTTTTACAGTACATTTTCAAAGAAGTGGTTTTGGTTATGTGAGCCTTTGAAATAAGCAAGGGAAATAGTGAGACCAAAATGACAGGGCAGGCTATATAGAAAGGGTGGAAAGGGGTAAATGGAGAGGGAGACTGGAGCCAAAGGAGCTTTGACTTCGATAATCTAATCAACGGCTTTCAGATAGACATTTTTCTACCATTGGCAAGAGTCGTTTCATTAAAAACAGTTCCTTTATTGTTGACGTGACTTGAATCAGACTATCAGCCGTTACCACTGGTAATCGGGGGTCTCGCTGTAACCGTTTCCTTTGACAGATTGGATTAGGTTTAGACCCACATGGAGAAATACTATAAATACTTCTCATATTCCTCTGTAATCTGTAATCTCCTCGATATAGTGAAATTGGCTCTCTCTCGCCCGTGGACGTAGCTAACACACATCGTGTTAGTGAACCACGTAAATCGTGTGTCGTGTTTTCGATTCTCGCTTTCGAATTCTTGCTTTGTCGATTCCGGCGATTTCCCCCATCCATAGCAGCGCGTTTATAACATTTACCACAAACAGAACAAAGTGAGAATGAACCAAACACGATTCAGTACCAGCACAGACCCAATGGCTACCCCCTCCTCAGGCTCAATCAAACTAGAGAAGCAAAGAAACCCATTCCTGACAGAAAAGAAAGCCATCAACTTGCTTATTCACAAATTGCAGAAACCAACTTCCAACGTTGTTCATGAATCATGACAGTCAAAGCTTCAGAAACTTAAGCAGAAGACACAAAAAAATCTGAACCCCAGTTCTAAATCGAAGATTCTGGAGGCTGATCTATGGTCGACGATTTGGGGCAGTCACCAAAACTGAAGAGGAAAACAGGGGAAAATCTGACTTGTTCAGCAACACAGTAACTCCTTTCTAATTTGCTCTGTTTTTTTCCCCCGGGACTTTCAACAAAGGAAAATCTTCGTGCTTGACGTTTCCTGAAAAGTCCAAGAAATTGAGGAAATTCATCCGCGTGAAGATGCCAAAGCCGTTCTCCAACACATTTCTTGAGTAAGTGGGAATAATAAACAATTCATCCTGGTCCCCTGGAGGAGAAGGATACAAAGACAAGCAATGGCGGTAGTGCCAAGCCATCCAATAATGGTTATGGAGGTTTAGATGGATCGATCTCCTCGACAAAATAATGTAGGAGAGAGAGAGAGATGGATGGTGTTTTTATCCTAAGATTTCAACCTTATAAATACTTGCCCCCTCTAGCAAGCAAGCTACCATCATCATCTTCTTTATTAAATATCCCTAAAATGTCATTTGATCATCGAATTTGCTCTGCATGTATCATCAATCAGAGATCCAGCTTTCTGTGAACTCTCTCCCTCAACGGCTGTATTATTCTGGTTTCCACCAATGGCGCATCTATGGCTGCCGCCAGCCTAGCTAAGCTTTCCGATTCCGGATTATAGCGGTTGGGGACAGTGAGTTCACGAAAAGTTTGCTCTCTCGTCATCTTTTTCTTCTTCCACTGGCAGTTTTATCGTATAAAAATAGGTGTTCAGAAGTTTGTGTTATCGTATAACATTTGAAAGATAACACAAACTTCTGAACAAAAATGTGGTAACTTTTGCGAGTTTTTTTTTAATCGTGGTTATACTTTCTCAACTAATTAAAGAACAATTGTGCATGAATATATGTTTGACTGAAGGAAATAAAGGGAGATGACATTCGGGGAATGATGTATGCATCGGCGGATCTAGGGTTGGGCCAACCCGGGTCACGACCCAGCCCTCCGCCGGATCCAGAGCTAGTATAGAGCTTATAAAATTTTCGATTTTAGGTATTCGAAAATTTTTTCGATGAATTTCTCGTTGATTGCTTAACTATTTTTTTTAGAGAGAGTATGCTATTGATATGGATGGATATTCTATTATTATTGATGGATTTGCCAAATTAAAAAACCTTCTATTACGATTGACATTGTAATGAATGAAAACTACTATTATCATATATTTTTGAGTAAATACAATTTATTAGTCAAACCTTTTAGACTTTCCAAATTATTAGCCAAACCTTTCGAAATACAAAATATTAGTTAAGTCTTTTGTAACGCATCAAAATATTAGTCATTTGTCTGTTATCGTTGGTAATTTTGCAACTATTTTCTTTATTTTGAAATACTAAATTTTAAAAATGTTGACTATTTTTGTTTACGGTATATAATATTATATTGAAATGCGGCCCATCGCTCTACTGTGTTCTGGATCCGCCGTTGGATGTATGTCCACGTCTCAGGTACATTACAACCACTTAAATTCTTTTTTCAAGAAATCAGATGACTAGCGAGGCTTTTTCATATGTATTGTTAAGTTGAACTTCTTCTTTTATTACTCGGAAATTTCAGCCTCATGTGACATTTGGTTACAGCGGGGCTTCCTAGATCGAACCTGGGATATGCAATTTTCAACCCTTCACTATCGTGACTTTACCATTGGGCTATCTTACCTTTGATATTATAAAGTTCAGCTTCAACAGCGAAAGACTAAAGGGGGAAGGGGAAGTGCCCTCACTAGGTATCGAACACACAGCGGAAGTGTGTCGACTCACCAGTTAACTCTTGGATTGGATTACAACTTACATCAATAATCGGCCTATATTAAGGGAAATTACTTTATATGCATTTCTAGGTATATAGTTTACCATATTAATATTTATTATTATTTACTTCCTACCATTACATTAACCCATTTAAGATCATTTAAATTTTTACAAATTAGTTTGCACTAATTTTACACCCTAATCTCACGTAACTAAAAATAATTATGATTGCAGGCCGGTTATAAAAAAAAATATAGAGAATACAATTTCGAAAAAAAAAAGAAGAGAATACAATTTCACAATGATATGCATTACGAATGTTGCTCGTATGCGTTCAACCATATCAAATGAATCTAAACTTTTAATCACATCAATTTATTACAACCTTATTGGTATTTGCTACCAAAATTTAATTTGTACACAAAGAATAAGAAAATAGTCATCTGCAATAACATAGGGAAGATATGATATATTAAATTGAAAATGTAATAGTATTTTCCACAAGAAACAAAATTGACTTGTTTTAAAATATTGGCACTCATTTCCCACATGTTGTGCTTGTCTTGGTATTATTCCTATGGTAACATGATCTATATTATTATAGCATAGTGTGTTTCTAATTTTTATTCAATCATGATTTCATCTCGAATTTTATGTATCTTATTTTAATAGAGACAAGTTTTGTCTTCACCAAAATGGTCATAGTTTTGAGTTCTGTTTTGCCATTTTCCTCTCTTTGATTGATTAAATTAAGCAAGCCTGAAATTATTGGTTGTGCATGTGGGCAAATATGCAGCCCAAGCATATCTGAGATGGCGTCGATGTTTGATATCTATGGTGTCGTTTTGCCCCCATACTCACAAAACAAAATTTTAAACACATATGATAATGTCCTTCAAAAACGGTACTCTCTTTTCCTGATGCAATTTGGATTTGAGGGGGTAAGCTGACATTTTAGTATGGAAAATTAGTTTACCTCAATAATTTGAGGTATTCGGAGAAGATAAAAATCTGATCTTGCATGATATTTTTAAGAAAACGACTTGTTGTGTGGGCAGAGACTCTCCACGTGTTTCACTTATGTGATGTGTCCGAGAGAATTTACTAATCTCTTTAGCTAGTAATGCAACTATAACTTAAATCAATTCTAAGAGTTGTACCAGTTCGCATCCTATGAAGTTTTTGAGAGATCAAGTCTATCTCCAAGAATTCCATACTTCGTTTATAAAATTCTTTTAGTTAAGTGATTCCGACTATAGTTCTGAATACAACTAAAAGTTGTGTTATTGAGTATCGGTTAATAAGCATTTTCAACATTAAACGAGTTACTTATGTGAAGAACCAA